TCTCTGAATTATTGAACTTTAATGATCAGACACCTAGAGTATATTTCACATATATTCAGTATGATGGATCTAAAATTACAGAAAGATCCACCAGGAATTGAGAGCTGGGGAAGTGAAATAGATAAGAAATTGAGTGTGGGAAACGTCAAAGCTCAAATGCCCCAAACATCGAAAACAGTCAGTTGGTGTATCCTTGGCTATGGGCAACCAATGCAAACACTTCTATGCCACATCCCTCCCACCAACACTCTACCCTCAGGGCAGTATGCAGTATAGGTTCCTTAGGTAGTCCACCATGTATCCTACACATTTTTAATGAAATCTTCAACCTGTATCATATATAAATGTGACTTTGTGTGAACAGATGTCAATTGTCACTTTTCACACATATATTGTTTTGCTTGTCATTCACTCAATCCTGGATGGATCTTTCTAAGCCTTTAAGGCTATCATTTACCATGTGGGCTTTTGATCAGTAGAAATATCCCCTTTACATCAGATCTCAAATTTCCGGCCTAAATATCACTGATCCTTAGCATAATAAATGTAATAATGACAGTCTATGAGTAACTTGGATAATCTGTGTAAGGGTAGGGTGGTAAAACATATCAAAATGTCACAATTGTAATTTGTCAAGTGTTGTTCCTATGGAAGGATCATGTAGGTGTCCTGGTCTATCTATATGATGTATCTACTACCAATATTCATAGAAATAGACCCCATACCTGGGTGCTTGGTGCTTAGTGCTTGGTGCTCAGTAGTGGGTACTCAGTGTGCTCAGTGCTTAGTTGAGTACCAAGATATTCAGCATTGAGTATCAAGTACTGGGAACTGAGTACCAAGTACCAAGTTTTGAGTATCGAGTAGGTACTGAGTACTGAGTATTCAGTGCTTGGTATTCAATTTTATAGACCGTGGGAACTTTTTCGATGAAAATCAAAGTTGTAGCCCATGTCAAGGGGAGTCTATCCATAGTCTCATGACATCAATAGGTTAAGATCCTAGTGAGGTATAAGCAAAATACTCGAAAATGAAGGGTTCAAAAGTGTTAAGGTACATATTGAGTAGTGAGTAGGTACCAAGATATTCAGCATCGAGTATCAAGTACTGAGTACCAAGTATTGAGTATTGAGTAGGTACCGAGCATCGAGTATCAAGTACCAAGTCCCGAGTATTCAGTGCTCGGTGCCCGGTGCCCGGTGCTCGGTACTCGATATTGTAGACCATGGGAACTTTTTCGATGAAAACCAAAGTTGTGGCCCTTGTCTAGGGGAGTCTATCCATGGTCTCATGACATCAATAGGTTAAGATCCTAGTAGGATATAAGCAAAATACTTGCAAATGGAGGGTTCAAGAAAGCACTTTGACTGTGGGAACTGGGTAGATAAAAATCAAAATTGTAGCCCTTGTCAAGGGGAGTCTATCCATAGTCTCATGACACCAATAGGTTAAGATCTACCAAGATATTGAGCATTGAGTATCAAGTACCAAGTACCGAGTACCAAGTGCTGAGTATTCAGTGCTCGGTGCTTGGTCCCTGGTGCTCGGTGCGCGGTCCCTGGTCCCTGGTCCCTGGTGCTTGGTGCTTGGTGCTTGGTGCTTGGTGCTCAGTTGAGTACCAAGATATTCAGCATTGAGTATCAAGTACCAGGAACTAAGTACTAAGTACCGAGTACTGAGTATTCAGTGCTTGGTGCTTGGTACTTGGTGCCCAGTGCTTGGTACTCAGTGCCCAGTGCTTGGTGCTCGGGACTCGATATTGTAGACTGTGGGAACTTTTTCGATGAAAACCAAAGTTGTAGCTCTTGTCTAGGGGAGTCTATCCATGGTCTCACGACATCAATAGGTTAAGATCCGAGTTGGTACTTGGTACTCGGTGATTCGTGTGTATCATCTTACATTTGTATTTCTGTACACATTTCACCGAGTACCGAGTACTGAATCTTGGGTGTCGGGTGTCGGTACTCAGTACTCGGTACTCAGGTGTCGGGTGTCAGTACTTGACTCGAAACTCAAAACTCGAATCTTGAATCTTGAAACTCGAAACTCACATAAATCTGAGTTTCGAATCCCGAGACTTGAATCACCAAGTACCAAGTACCGAATCTCGGGTGTCAGTACTTGGTACTTGGTACTCGGTACTCAGGTGTCGGGTGTCAGTACTCGACTTGAAACTCGACACTCAAATCTTGAATCTTGAAACTCGAAACTCGTATAAATCTGAGTTTCGAATCCCAAGACTCGAATCACTGAGTACTGAGTACCGACACCCGAGATTCAGTACTCGGTACTTGGGTGTTGGGTGTTGGTACTCGACTCGAAACTCGTAAAAATGTATGAGTTTCCAGTTGAGGTTTGAATTTTGAGTTGAGTCTCTCTCGAGTCTCCAGTCTGGGTGTTCAGGGCTCCAGTTTCAGGTGTCAGGGTTCAGTACTCGGTACTCGTTACTTGGTGAATGTCAGACATGGTGTATTCAGGCTTTCTGGTATCTATCTACTCAATGAAGATGTTTTGATTGATGAGCACTGTGGTGAAACGTGACTGTGATCTTATTAGTATCACTCATCGCTGAGTCTGAGTCGACACGAGGCAGCTCTCTGGTTCTCTTTCAGCGCTTTCGTGGATATAGTATACCAATACCTAGGCCTATCTGTCTATATGATACATATCTGGGCCCACCCGTCTGTCTAATATTACCCGACGTCGGCCCACCTGTCTAGGTAAAATTCCCCACTTCGGCCCACCCGTCTATGTAATATTTCCCTATGTCGGCCCACCCGTCTATGTAATAAATAATTCACCTCACCCTCGGCCCACCTGTCTATCTAATATTAACCCACGTCGGCCCACCCGTCTATATAATAAATATTTCACCTCACCCTCAGCCCACCCGTCTATCTAATATACCCTTACATCGGCCCACCCATCTATGTAATAAATAATTTGCCTCACCCTCAGCCCACCCGTCTACCTAATAATACCCGACGTCGGCCCACCCGTCTAAGTAAAATACCCCACGTCGGCCCACCCATCTATCTAATATTTCCCTATGTTGGCCCACCCATCTATGTAATAAATATTCCACTGCTCCCTTGGCCCATCTGTCTACAAAATAATACTAATATGTCGGCCCACCCGTCTATATAATAATATTTGCTATACATCTCTCCTCAGGTCTATAATATATGTCAATCCTACTCTATATATTACCCACATGGGCCCACCCATCTCCATAATAATATTTCTCCCGGCCCATCCGCCATCGTCGATGATACATATAACATCAGCATAGATGGGCCCACCCGTCAACATCGGAAATAATATTTCTCCTGGCCCACCCGTCAACATTGGGAATATACATAACATCGGCCCATAATCCGCTGGCCCGTATTACATGGGATATTATGTAGGTCGGGTGACCCGTATAGTACGGGATTTGTCACTGAAGGGGCTCAACACGCTGCAGATGGGATCACTCAATTGAATTCAATAGGTCTCGTATTACACACAGATAGGTGGGGGCTGATAGACGTCATTCGCCAGACTCAAGATCAAGTCTTTACCCACGTGAGTGACAACAATCGTGTTCATAAGTACACGCGGATATATATGTTGTTGTGTTTGAAATAGAGGGATAGTGGACGATCAGGGTGGCCACCACTGTGAAGGAGTGGTGAATATGGTCTGGTATAGCCAGTTCAAGAGACCCCATAGCTCAACTAGATTGTTTTGCACAGGCCTGCCAGTAAGGACTAGCAGTGCAATGGTGAGATGACGAGATACATCGCAAATGAAACACCTTACTGAGTCGGTAAAGGGAACCTATGCCATGAACTTTGCTGAAGAGGTTGGTATCTGAATTCTTAATCCTGTGCCCCTCGTTGAGAACACAATAAAACCACTGTCGACTCTTGAACCAAGAGTCCTCACCAACATCTGATGTATTGGGCATCAAAGCTACTGGGTATGATGGCGCAAACGACAAGGGACACGGAGGATTGAGGATGGGCTGAGTGGTGGGTGGAATGAGTTATAGGACAAGACGGAGGGTAGGGATACTGGAGGATGAGGGTCATGATACGATCTGCCATGGGTTGAATGCCTCCCCCGAGCCTCCAAATGATGCTCTGTACATGTCCCCAAATGCACTGTTCGGGACTAGGAGCACGCGAAACGAGTCAACTAGGTACTTGGCTTGTAGGGTCTGAATTCAAGTGTGGCGATCGTGGACAACGAGATAAGAGTTCTGAATTGACCCAGTCGAGTACGTCATGCAGGAGCGTATGAGTGTGGTGCACATGCAGATGTGGGTGTGGAGGTGAGCTTGCACCTGGGGTAAAGGACTTGCTAAGGCCTGGTGTAGGGGGGATGTGTGGAGTGGAGGATACATATATGCAATGTGCATGGTAGATAGAGCATGCGGACACCTTTGGTGAGTGGGATAAATTTACAGAGGGCAGTGAGGGTATCACCGATGCGGTGAGGTTATGTAAGAGGCCAGCGCGGACTGCGGTTGTGTGAAGTTTGTAGGAAATGAAAGAGGAAGGGTTGGTGGCGGGGAGGTGTATTGAGGATGGGAGTGTTCCATTGAGTGCGAGTGAGAAAGGAAAGACGCATTTGCCTGCTTTGAGGGTATGTGAGTGGTGTTTCTCGCCTTCGAGGAAGGACTAATCATATGTGCAGAGACTGAAACTCTGGCTTAGGGTGATTCTAGCAAACCGAGATGAGACAAGGAGATTGAGATGAAAGAAATGATGTACAGGTCATGAAGAGAAGGTGGTACACAAGATTTACCACAAAATTGGAGATTGATCTCTTTGATAGAGGTTGCCTCTGAGAGAGTGAGGATGAGGTGACCAGAAAGTTAGGTGAGGTGAGGACAGGTGGGTTAGGATGTTCCTGTGTATTACAACTTTGTAAAGGTCGCCTTTAAGAATCAAACATAAACTGACCTCCTCTATAAACAACAAAGGAATGACCGGGCCAGTTTATACGTCCCGATGTTGCCACAGCCGTTCTGGATGCTTGACGGGCGGGAAATGTGGTTGTGGAAAGATGGGGAGCACTTGCTTAGAGGGGAGGCAGCTGGTGGTGTGGTGGATGGGAAGGGGATGCCAGATGAAGCTTGGGATGGCAAATATGTTGGTAGTGCCAAAGGTTCCTCTGGTGGAGGGGTATGAGGAGTGCTCCTTGAACCAAGCTTCGGTTTCATGTCTGCATGTATCGGAATGGGATGTCAGCTGGACTTCCGAGGATGGCTCCTCCCTATGAGCACCATGAATAACAGCCGTTTCAGTGTCTGTCAAAGGTACGTGATGGGTTAAGATGAGTAGATTTAAAAGAGAAAAGAGGCTTACCAGGAGATAGGGTATTAGCAAGGAGTGCACTGGTGTTCATGATGATTTCAGAACCGTTTCAGCGTGACAGTCGTCGATATAAAACTAAAAAGAGATATGGGTACAAGAAAGGTCAGTAGCTAGCATTGGTGAGGAGAATAGCAAACAGATAATCAGGGGATGTGGTGGAAGGGGAAGTGGTGCTCCAGCTACTTAGCCTTGGGGCAAATGGCCAAACAAGGCTAAGTAGGAAGGGGACTTTAAGCAAACCAAAAAAGAAAAGACACTCACCAAAAATAAAGCCTCCATGCCCTCGCTGCTTCATGGCCTCTGGAATGTTACTAACTGAACCAACTATGCATCAGATCATAGGTGCTAGCATGCCAACCTACAGCACAGCCAGCACCTCCCTGGCGCATAAGTCAAAAATAAAACAAAGAAAGTTTCTGTTTGCACATATTTTAAAAGTCCACTGGCAAAGTCTGGCCAATTAGTTGATGCATACACAGATTGCGTACCCATATCATTTTAATCTTATACCATTACATACTGCTTTTTCTAATGTCTTTGCCTTACAGACCTATCAACTTCAGCGACAAGTTCAACACTGATGACAATCATATTGTCCTCAATGTCGAAAACCTTCTTAAGGATTGGCCTACATATGTCATTCAATTCACGCCTCAAAAACCAGGACCGGTGGTATGTACTACTAGTAGCATCACAATATTTTAACTGACTTATGTTCACCCTACAGAAACTACTGTTGCACTTGAGAGATGCAAAAAGCTTAGATGGATTGATGATAGTGACAGTGAAGCCGAGGAGTTGATACCACAAGGGACTCAGTGAAAGACCCCGAAAAAGTAAGCTATCATTTTTGTGAGCATACTAACATTTGCTGAAGACATTCCAGATCCTCCACTAGCGCTGTCAAACCTGATCCAGATACTAATACCATAGTTTCAAACACTCCCAGTGCCTCTGAGCTGTAAGTCTTATTTCTCTTTGTGTTATTTTTCTGACATCTTTGTACTTTCAGGGGCAGCCTCACACTCCTCGCAAATCCTGTGCAGTTCCTGGGTGTATTGGAAGACCCACCAGTGAAGAAACAAAAGTTCGCTGATGAAGATTCTGTTTGGCCTCCTCGCCGCTCTCGAGCCTACAGAGATGTTCTGGATCTACCCCTTGCTGCTTTTCGTAACCTCATGATTCTGTCTGCTCCTGTCAAAGCAGCAGTTGATAGTCCTGTGTAGGATATTTGTTGCTCATTCCTATTGCTATTTTGCTCTGTCGTTTATTTCTCTTTGCAGCACTGTCATCTCATTTGCAGCTCAATGTCTTAGTAGCCCTCATCTCTCTTTTGTTGTCATCATTGTTCATCTACTCGCTTGTCCGTACTCACTCAAATTAAATTGTATTTCTTGTCCAGCAACAATTGATATACGCCCACTAGTGAATTATTTAAAGTCCGAACATTCAGAGTCCAATTGGTGTGATTAGATGCGTCAAATCCCCTGACTTTCTCCTTAAAGCTTAATCCTTTACCTCACAATGTCATCAGAATCTGAGTCCTCCTCTTCATCTACTGCTACGAGCTCTAAGAAATGCACTTCAAGTGACGATCTCCTCGATAATTTGACTGCCACATGCAGACAGAAAAAAGCCAAGTGAGTGTGATATTGATTGGATTGAATACTTGCCCCTATTACGTGACTTAAGGTTGAGCGATGCATTACATGAATATTGCACTACCAGGCACAAAGCGGTTGTTACACTGAACCCATTTGCAAACGTGTCACTCACATTTCATTATGGGATGATGCTCGATAAGGACGGCATCTCCAATTCAAATATGTAGGTCATTTTTCATATCCGAACTGCAAGCTGATTTACTTGGCACTAGATCCGAAGAGCAGCAAACCTGATACCTCATCTTCTATAATGGTATACTAGATTTCATTCCAGGCTTTCGTGCAACCCTCAACAAGATGTCATATGACAAACTTAAACCTTATATTGCAGCTGTAAGTTGATGTATATATATGTATATATGCACATGTATCATACTGACAACTGACGACCACAAACACCCAGATAAACAGCACGATGAGCTCCCAATGATCTGATGACTTCTCATCCCTCAAACACCCAATACTCGAGTACATCCTCACCAACCGTAACACTGATACTCTGCAGCCTCCAATACCCAAGTTGTCCTGCAAGTCCAACTGTGGTGTGAACCACCTGTGATTAGCACAGGAACTCTGCCCTAGGAAGTGGCTCAATGAGTTTGACATTGACATTGAGAGGTAAGTTTTTTTTTACTTTCAAATGTTAGATCATTCACTATTGTATATTTAGAGGAATGGAATGTCTTCAAGATGGGACATGGCCTTTACTTGCTACTAACTGGCCATCATTCCTCTATGCAGCCGAGGCCACATATGACAGCGAAGACCTGAATATTGGCCTCTTTCGAGGACACGTTGGTATCAGGATAAGTACTGTGTTGTTCATCATTTGTGCACTCACAATTTTCCTAGGCCTTTCAGCATCTATACCTGGGACCTGCAGCTGCAGGATCACATGACCATGGTGATGATGACGGCAAGCACAGTGGAAGCAAGTCCAAACATATGATGTATGGACTTACTAAGGTGACACCACAATCATGGGCCTGGGCCATGTGTGCAGTGCATGATTCTTTTCTTTTCTTTGACTAGTGTACTGATTTTGGTATACTAGGTATGGTTCTCCCTCTCCGCCTGCAACTTGTACAAGATGTGCATTGGGTCATTCAACCTAGAAGAATTCTTTTTCGCTATCATCAAAACTCTAGATGATCCCAAGGATCCATGGGCAGTAGACATGCTTGCATGGATCAATGAGTATGTGTTCATTTTGTCTTCATTATCTACTAACAAAAATTACAGGCAAGTGTTCGGTAAACATGCAACTAAAGGGATGACCAGTGCGTTAGATGATGCTGATTCTGACCTCGCAAAAATGCGAGCCAAACATGTGGCTCGTAAACAAGCAGGCAGGTCGACCTTAGCAACAAACAGCACAGCACACAGTGTTGTCATTCCCCCCCACCAACTCCACACAGACTGCCTCACTTGCACTGTCATCGCCATTGTCATGCGCATCAACACCACCGACATTCCAGCCCTCTCTGAAACCTCAGAGTGCACATGCTATCCATCCCAAGCCCACACCTGTCCCTCCAAAGCCCTTGACTGTCATACTACCCAAACCAATGCCAGCGCCTGTTGTACAACTGAAGGCCAAACCCATTCCGAAACCAAAACCAGTACCCAAGCCACATCCTAGCACTCATGGCTCTATGCATCTTGCTGCTGGCTGTGCCCAGGTTGAAGAACCAACAAATGAACCAGGTGACAGTGTGGCTGTGGAGGCTCCTGTGCCTCAGAAGAAGAACCCTGTCCCTCGTTGTAGCAGAAATGCTGCCTAGGTATGTTTAATTCTCACTTGTTTGCCCATTCTGACTCTTTCTCCTAGTTGCTTGTCACTCATCACACTTTTCACTGCATTATGCTCACTTGTCTCGCACTCACGCTGTTGCTCACTCTCGCACCATCATTTTTGTTCTCATCACACTCTCATTTGTGGTTTTGGATGGCATCGGACTCATACAGATCAGTTTTGTCACACTTTGTACTTTTGTCATTTTCAGTGCTTTGTTGTATTGTACAATCATGAAATCTACTTGATTCCATCTATTGCATTGCAGTGTGCTATCTGTCTGGTATGAGTCGTACAAACTATGAATAGCCTGGTCAAAATTGGCAAGGCTGGGCCAGTATTACAAGGTGCCCCAAGACTTTTTAAAACATCCAATTCTGACCACTTATAAACACCCTGATGCCTGTCTGGCATGGCGGAGAGGTTGTCTACAGGGTGTATTCAGCTTTGGTGAAGGACATGAGGCTGGGGGGGTCTTGCCATGCCTGGAAAGGCCTTACCAGGCTGTGCCACATTTGCTGATGACTGAAAACCTCATATCGTGATTTGCCATTATTTACATTGCAACACTGAATAATCATGTTTGCTGCCAATATAGTATTAGATGGTCTGACAAGGGTGAATCACCAACCCCACCGATGAGAAAATCTGCTCTTTGTGTCGATGAATTATACTCTAAGAAATATACTTGTAATGCAAGCTCCAGATTCCGTTGTGGGTACAACAAGTGCAGCGGAGAGAAATCGATCTACTACAAAGTTGGGTCTTGCTGCCTACTGCCTCACTTGAGAACAAGCATGTTCAACCCTAAAGGGGATTGCTACTGGGGAGTGTTAATCTCTGTCTGAGCGACCCTATTCAACCCTACCGCAGGTAGGATGAGGATCCGCATAAATGCGGAACAAGTGGAACTCAAGCTGAACCCAAGTGGAATGGAATGGAATGAAGTGGAACTCAACTGGATACAATGCGGAACGTAAGGAGTCATCAGAACTTGCAGGTCAAGTCGAAGGAAGTATATCACAAGGTTAGATTGATAGTGGGCATAAGTCAAAGCGGTCCTCTAGTAAGGTGAAGGAAAAGTGGGAAGGTAAAAGATGGGATTTGATAAAAAACACCCAAGCCCTGAGTACCACTACTTAAAGGGAACATTATTTTCAAGGAACACCGAGGTACAGGTAGTAAGTTCTCAGGAAGTGGAAGTGAAGGCAGGCAGTGCACATGGGCGCAATACTCCGGAATAGGGGTCCGTGCCATAAGGGCATGTGTCAGTGTGATCCAGATAATGTTAGAAGCAATGGGAAGAGGGATACAACATACCAATGGACCTGGAAGGATGGGGACAGGACATGCAAAGGTTGTCCGACAATGCGCGGGAATATCTGATAGTGCAGGCGGGTTCTGAAGGATGCGCGGGAATGCAGAACGTGCAGAATATGCGGAACTGATGTGAGATGATGCGGAAAGGACGGGGTTTTATGCCTACAGTGGGGGAATTCCCTGCACCGTTATACTTACCGAGTGGTGCCACCTCTATCTTCAGGTAAATAGCTTCATAAGGTATGGGCAAACATAATCTCAGAGTGTTAGGTACTGTGCCAACTCAGGAAGCAGAGGGGTCAGGGCTTGGCTTCAGCTCTTGCGCTGCGCCCTTAGCCGAGTACATGCCCTGAATTTGGAGTGGGTCCAACATTGTCTGACGATAGGATGAGTGGACTGCTTTGGTCCGCTTTGAGGGTCGGGGAGTAAGAGCTACTAGTGGCAAGCCAACTAGGAGCGGAGCGGAGAAGGTGGGGAGTGATGCAGAGGGTGGATAGGAGCAGGGGGAATGTTTGGTAGGGGCAGGGAAGGCGGAGGATAATGTGGAGGGACAAGGGAGAATATTTGATAGGGGCGGAGTATAAGGGAAAGACTTAGAGCACGGCTCTAAGTCGGAGTGGAGGGTCAGAGGGTCAGAGGGTCGGAGGTGACAACAAGTTGAGACTTGTGTCCAGAGGAGGCAAGGTCCTACTGAGAATTCCCACAAGATGTAACTGTGAGAAGACAAGTAATATTAAGACTGAGGAAAATATCTAAGTACATGATATGTTATATACTACTATGTATGAGGCAGTGACCAGGATAACTATGTTGTAAAGCTATGTACCAAGGATATAGTTTGTAAGTACTTTACACAGGCGAAGACATAAGTCGGAGTGGATATCAATATGTATGCGTTGGATCAGTGATCAGGCAGTAATAGGAATTACCGGTGATCCGGAAGTAAGGGTCTATGTACCGAAGGGGAAAGTATATATCTAAAAGGGGAAAGAGATCCAGTTGAATGGAGAGGTTATGGAAGGGGACCGGTCGAGCAGTCGAGCGGAAGTGTAGGGCGGAATGCAGACTTGTGATTGGACGGAGCAGAGGATAGATGGAGCGGAGGGGGTCAGAAAGCGGAGTGGATATCAATATTGGAGTGGTCGGATCAGGTATATGACACAGAGACATCTTACAGCTGTTTGCATAAATGATGACAGTACATGCCTATTTGAGAAAGAAGAAGAAATAAATAATCTAACCTAGTATTTCATCTCACACTGCAACAATCATCATTGATGTACTTATGGAAACATAAGCCACAACGTTAAACTTGCTGCCGTTAATCTCTACAAATGTCAACATCTCTCTCTCCACAATATTCTTACATGTGTCGGATTCTCAGAAAGTACTTTCTGGTGTGTCCTTCCACAACGTTAAACTTGCTGCCGTTAATCTCTACAAACGTCAACATCTCTCTCTCCACAATATTCTTACATGTGTCGGATTCTCAGAAAGTACTTTCTGGTGTGTCCTTAAGCTTTGGCACGAGACAGGCGACATCATTAGCCCCACCTGTAGCCTTCGTGGGCACCCTCATGTTCTCCACTGTGACAATGTCATTTATCTCATCCATCTCATCCATCACTGTCCTGGGTGGTTCTTGGATGAACTGCTCAAGCTACTCAATACAAATCATTTCATATCTGTACACTACACCACAATTCATCACAAGCTGGAGTGTATTGGTGTTTCCCTCAAAAAGCTCAAACAGATTGCAAAGGAAAGGAACAAGCAGCGGAGAATGGAGTTCACTATTTGGATGAGGTTAATATCTACCTGAGGAGATTGGTTTTCTCAATGAGACTTTGACAATACAGAGCAATCTAAACTTCTATGCGAGAATCAGTCCGAATCAGTCCTTCATAGCCCATCATGTGACAGCATCTTTCACTGCAGCAATTTCGCCATTCTTGAAACCCATCTCCTTCAGCTCAGAAACAATGATATACCTGATAGTTCATGTCCCCGTATAGCCATTGTCAGCGAGTTTGGTGAGTATGTCCTGTGAGAGTTCAAATGCAACGCAGAAGTCTGCGAGGGACATGTCTGGACCGGGCCTTGCAGAGACAGAAAGGAGTGGGATGTCAGTGGTGTGTGTATTTGCAATATGATCTATGGGAGAAGTGGGTAACAGAGGGTTGGGTGCTGCAGCAGGTTGTAGAAAGCTAAAGAAGTCATTTGGAACATTGATTGTTGCAGTGTGAGATGAAATACTAGGTTAGATTATTATTTCTTCTTTCTCAAAAAGGTGCATACTGTCATCATTTATGCAAACAGCTGTAATTGCAAGTCCATCATCAATAAAAAAGCCAAAACTGTACATACTATGTAACCATTCTGTAACAACCAGTACAAGGTGTGCAATTGCTGCCATTCCCACAAACACATGACAGACTTGTGTTGGGCTTGCAAGTAACAATGCATGGCCGAGCATGCAGCGAGGTTTTATACATACTTCTACCAGCCTTGTTATATTTGTACCACTTGGTAGACCCTTGTTTGGGGGATGTTTGATACATACCGCTACAACTCTTGTGACATTTGTGCTTCCTGGTGGTCCCTTGTGCGGGTAATGAACTTATATACATACTCCTACTGGTCTTGTTGCCCTATTGTAGGCTCTGTTTGATCATGATAATGGACACATCAAATTGCACTACAGTAGCTACACTGCAGAAAAAGGCAGATTATGTATGGGATGGATGTGGCAAAAACCTCCAGATTCGTAGCAGACTCGTGCAAGATTTTTGTCAGGTTCGTTGCAGCTGTAATGTCAAACAATTGGTTGCAATATTCATGCATTCGTGTCTCATTTCACATACATTCTTGTGTAATTCATTCACTCTATAATCCTCAACCACATACCCAGTACCCCCACTGCCAGCTGCAGCTGGCTATAGCGCACAAATTACTGCTCGTGCTGCAAACCATTGGCCATAGTAACAAGCAGATCATATAGCAGTACTACTGGTGAATCTCAGATGTAGTTACAGGCACTGTATGATGTCCTAGTAATGGTACAGTTCAATTCTCCCCCTCACTGTGTCCACGAATCTTGCGAGGCTCAATACTGCAATTGTCGCTCATGAACAGCTCGAAATGAATTTTTCGACACTGAAAGACCAAACAGAAAATGAGTTTCAGTTCCTGTACAACAAGAACAAGCTTCTCAAAGCCGAAAACTCGCACCTGAAGTTGCAATGGAAAGATGCAGATGTTTGCAACGCATCAAAGCGCAAGTCAGCATTGAATATATTGAAGCAGGTGATGGTGCAGATATAGAGAATGATGAGGGTGAGCAGGTAGATGACAGTGGGCAGCAATCTACCATGAATGCGAGGGCAGAAAAGGATGATCAACAGCGTGCAAGTGATGATGCAATTCAGAGTGCATACCTTTTGGTATGTTGTGCAGCAACAAAAGACAGAACAGAACACTAGAATGAAGGATCTAGTAGGTGAAAGCTTCATAATTCTGCTAGGCATCCAGAAACTCGATGCGCAGGACTTACCAGACTACCCAATGAGTATTGGAGAAGGGAAAGATAAATGGTGCAAATATCCCGCCACAAGGAAAGACAACTTGATTCTAGTCTGAATTATATCAGTAGAACATTCGGAAACTTTGATTAGCGCTCACCCATTTGAAAACACTGCTCCCTTCGGTCGACAACAATTGTACTGTTGTGGGGAAGAACTAGCCACTTACAGAACCAAAACAAAGAAATGAATCAATGCTTCAGTATGTGAAAACTCCTGCGAGCGTCGTCACCTCACCATTGCAAGGGAAATCTTTGGTACTCTGGGGCAGATGCTGATTTCGACATTCTCTTATCTCCTTAGGCTGGTACATGAGCAGCCATGTATCATTATTAGTATATATAGCAGGCAAATACGCAAAATGGACGAACATAGCCTTGGAGTTGTATGCAGTTAGTGTTTGTCGTCGTGTCAGTGCAAGAAGTGTTGTGGCTGGGTCAAGGGTTTCTATGCACACAGAGCTTTGGACTTAGACAAAAAAAATGATCTTGAATTCAACAGTGGGTAGAATATTGCAAGGATCTGATTATAATGAGAGGATTAGTATGAAATCCCAGTGCTGCTGTGATGTGAGTGTTATGTGCGAGGAATGTGGTGCAAATGTCTAGATTCGTGCCAGATGTGTCCCAGACATAATCTGCATTTTTCTGCAGTGCTAGAGTACACTCGGCTATAGCCAATGAGCACAGGAGTTAAGGGCGGCAGCACCTAGAACATAGCAGGAGTTGGAAGAGGTAACAGTGTAGTATTTATGTGAGGAAAGAGAGCCAGATGGATCTCAAAGTCAAGCTTCAAGTTTGGGGTCCTGGGTGAATGACTGCTGTCAGCCGAGTTCATCACAGGTCAAGTCCGGATCCAAACATTAATGCTAATACATATAAGACTTGTAACTTAGTAAGAGCTAGTATACAGTTGCAGACAAGCAAACTTGACAAATTTGGTCTCATGTAACATAGGCTACAGACACTGCATTGTATTTAGGACATAACAAATGAGCCAATCTCTCCACATCTAGAGTTGAAAATGTCATTCAAGCATCGTTTTACGATCCCTGTTTAGTATAGTCTTGGACGAGCTGTATTTAGCATGTAACTAGACCAAAAATGTGGTAATGGAGAACGGACTGTAACAAGCAAGGAAGCGAGGAAGAGCCTATGATCTTGTAATGTTTTAACTTTACCTTATAACTTTTACAAGCTTTACATTTGGTACATATCTGCTTTGACTTACATACATGCTACAATATCATGCACTTCTGTTAGTTTATTTGCAAGCTTTGCACACTTCATGTAAGAACCTTACACTCTGCACACATCTGCTAAGACTTGTAGACAGGCTACAATCTCATGCATACCTCCACACTTCTGTTTGTTACTTTACAAGCTTTGCACACTTTTGATACAAGCTTTGCATTTCACACATATCTGTTGCTACTTGCATATGTGGTACAATCTCATACATATCATCTACCAGTCTGTTCAGGGTTTGTAAGCCATAAAAGGCAGTAACTGGCCATACACGCAGGTGGTTCTTTTGTTGATGATTCAAAGCACATTTCACAAGGGATCAGATTTACAATACATGGAATAATTGCATGAGCGGATTATGTGATGTAGAAGTGATATTGTATCATGTCCCCTTCACTTGGATGACTGCAATAAGTGGCCGATAGAAGAGTCCAGAAACAGAGAATGGGTGCCCATTCCCTCCAGGATTTTTCCCCTTTGATGGCACCATGATCTCTACATTAGCTTGCTTCCATCCATCCCGCTGCAGAACTCCCATGTCAGCGCTATCTTCAGAATTATCAAAATTTTTCGTCTGAACATCAAGATTGAAGTGCTCGAAATTATGGAGATTGAAGTCCTCCACTTTGATCACGTTATTCACCAGATGTTTGACCTCTGCCATCAACTTCTGATCACTTCCTGTCACCATCCAGGACATCAACCTCCAGACTGACATGTTTTGCCAAGGCCAGGGTGGTTGCCAAGAGGACAGATCACCTGAGTGTGCCTCAACATCCAACATGCTGTTGTCACTGACATTGAATCCAGGACTCCAACATATATTTGAGAGTTCATCTGCTGATACTATTGCATCCAGGTCATATGAAGGGCGATGGTGATATTCACAAGCAATACCAAATCTATTGAAACACATGTGGATGGAGTCAAAGACATGGAGAATTATCCGTGTAGGAAGTGAGGTTGGTTGAACCTGAGTGACAGGCACTGGTAGTTCAGGAAGTTCATCCCTAAACCACAATGGAAGCCTCTGTGTATGTTTTGGGAGTGAATCACAGTCCGGAATATCATCTGGGGAAGGAGAACATGAAATAATCAGATCAGAGTTGATTGCATTATTGGCTGGCGAGTGGGTGGTGGGTTGGGTTGGTTGAGCATCTGGGAAGTAGTATGGTTGATAGTTGGTTGTTCTGATCTGCTGTTCAAGGATGAAGGCATGACCTTGGGTGCATCAGACTATCACCCTTGAATGATAATGTTAGTAGCACTCACCGGGGTAGTGTTGTCAGCTAGAGAGGGTTTTTGTATGCTTGAGATCTTCACAAGCTCAGCATTTGAAATGTTGGGCCTGAAGATCCAAGCAATGTTTGTAATGCTGACAAGCACTATGGTGTCGACCCAGCCTCGTGTTGTCAGAAAACTCACAAGGACATGGTGATCCACACCTCAAGTGATGGCAGTCCATGATTAGAATACAAAAAGCAAGAGACAGAAGAAGTATGCAGATGATGGATCTGATGTTCATTTCAACTTGATCATGGCCAAGATTTGAAGTAGTACTGGAGGGACGAAGTCAGCAAATGTCACCTCACTACATGATTCTTACTAACAGCTCCACCAGTGGCCCCATGAACTTGCAGCATTAATGTGATGTTCAGAATGTTGCAATGACAGCTGAGGTCTGGGTTGTCTCATGTCAATGCAAAAGGCGTGCTAGTACAACTATTGTATCAATTGAAGAAAGCCTCATGGACAAGTACAATGTGATGGTGCATCAAGGGTATTAGAAAATGGTGTGCTTGAGTACAAGATGAGGATAGTAAATGCTAATGGTGAGACTGAGTGACAATGAGTATCAAGGTGACTCTAGCAGCAGGCATCTACCTGTCGCTACCATATTATGGTACACTCTGGCTTTGGGCAAGTGCAGCAGTGCGAGCATGCGTGCATGAACGTGTGTTCCTGGCTGGTCCTGAATTAAATGCTTCATCTGCTGTGCGCTTGACACCCCTACTGCCTGTCACCATACTATACCAACTTTTGTACCGATCATAAGCCATCAACATGCTTGCAAGGGCAAGCTTAGAAAGCATCCCATCCCATCCAAAGGGGAGAGTGACAGGCACTTCCAGCAGAGCCAAAACATCAACATTTTGGCTGGCCTGTTGAGCCAAATGTACATACTGGTCCCTCATCTGGGACAGTCCCCTCTCTATCATAAGCATGACATTGCCCATTGAAGTGTTCAGAAATAATTCCTGTTGTAAGTATGGTCAGTTATAAATTGCTAAGTGCCAGTGAGACTTACGCCACATGTTGTGAAGTCTGGGTTCTGTGTTTCTATGTCAATTTGCCCGTTGTTGTCTTGCACCCAGACCTGAAAATGCACACTTAACATTGCATGCCAGAGGTGCTGTTCAACCACAATTTCAGTGGGTTTATTGAGTGATCTTGATCCAGTGCTGTTGGAAAGGAAGGTGGTGTAGAAACGAAGATTATCTTCCTTTTGTAGCTTTTGCCATGCATGACTGAGTTGTATGGGTGGGCTGTAGGGGATCCGTTCATGGACCTAGGCTATGAAGAGCAATACAATGTCTGGAAATGCCTTGACCCTGTCCCTGAGCCTCTGTAGTAGATCAGTTCTGGATTGCGATACAGCCACTTTGCCCATGACAGGGGTGGTTAGGATGGGGGGGTCAGTGAGGGCAGTGACTACATGGAGGATATCAGGGATGCATTTCACTGAGTCCCCATTGATGGTCAAGTTGGTATGGGTGTCTGAGGACAATAAATCCCCAGCAATGAAATCCTGCAGAACAAGATCTAGATGTTCCAATCCTTTGCTGATAACCTTGATTATAGCCTTGTGTATGGGGGAAGGCATTTCAACAACAAGGGTATGGGTATTGCAGTTGTACTCTAACCTAGAAGAATTCTGTGTTATGACTCATAAGAGATTATCAAAATATGTTTACCTTGGTCTTGCAGGGCAGTCTTCAATCTTGCAAGAGATATACATCAGCAAACCACCAAATGTTGCACAGAGTTTTGATTTAGCCACAGATTCTCACAGTGTGTCAGATACCACAGAGTTGCAAGGATCCCAGAGCCACAGAGCCACAATTCCCAGTGTGTTACAGACCCACAAAGCTCACAGAATTGAGAACAAAAATTTCACTAAGTCTTTTCTATTAACTTAACATTGATCCTAAATGTTAGTATTGATAAGGAGTGACTATGGTAGACCGTGGGAACTTTTTCGAAAGTTGTAGCCCTTGTCAAGGTTAGTCTATCCATAGTCTCACAACATTTTTTGGTTAAGATCCTAATGAGTTGTAAGCAAAATACTAGAAAGTGGTGTGTTTCAAGAAAGTTCAGGCACACAAGTAATGTGACTGATGTTTGCTTATTAGGACTAGGAATACCAATAGGAATAGTATAGTAAAGAAAGACTTGATGAAATTTCGAGTTTTTGGTCATTAGAGACTAGGTAATGTGACGTGAGAAATGGTATATATATCATTTTGAGTGAAGTATAATAAAGCTACTATGGTGTAATGGTAAGTATGTTGTTGTTGATAAATAATCCTGAGACAATGAGGCCTGAGGTCTCCAGTTCAACTCCTAATATTGGCAATTCAAAGTGTCAAAAATGTGCATTTGTTTTTGTTTATTTACTACCTGAAGCTGTAGCACTGGGAGGTTCTGTACAGCTCTGTACAGAACTAGGTGTCGGTGCTGCCAACTTTTGACCTTGTGGAGTTTGTGATTGTTCTTTGGGTTTGGGAGCAAATATCGTCTCAATTTGTGATTATGCAATGAAGATATAAGTACATTTGTTTCAGTCGTTGGGATACAAATACAAATTGCACATGATTTCCTTTATCCATCTTTTGATGAACCAGCCTCTGCATTATAACGTGTTTTCTTCGTCTTAGGCTGTTCCTCAAGATCAGCCTCTGGGTTGGCGTGTTTGTAGTTAGATGGAATGTGAACGGGCCCAAGCCTCAACACTGTCACCTTTTGTGCAGTGGCTTGGAAGCTATGGAAGTCTTTGATGCACCAGTGCTGAATGCTGAATTGTACCTCCACGATTGCGCTGTTTATGATCTGGTTGGCGTGTCTGGGCTCTACCAAGTGACCTTCATGGTAGAGAGGCAACAGCTCAGCTGCCATGCTATACTTTAATCTGTCAAAGTCATGTGCAAACTCATCCAGAATCGGCCAATTCTTTGTTTCATCATCCATCTTTGGAGTGTTCTCTGCAGCCTCTCCATGAGGAGAGTCAGGAATTATGTGCTCCTTTTATTTTGGTCAGTTTATGTTTTATTGTGTTCAAGGATCAGGTACACACACAAACAGTGAATATAATTTTCACAAAGCGAATCATTTTACCAGTGTAGTCGTTGATCACCATGTTTTTGTGGTTGCCCATTTTACCAACTTCCTCTTGCAATATTTCCAGATTATGGACTCTAGCCAGATAATCTGCCAATAACTCATGATCCGTGGGACAAGTGATGTTGAACTGATATTTGGCTTTTGCAAGGGGACTCATACCCCCTGTGAAATGGTTGCCAGAGGGCGTACATTTCAGGTGGTATGGAGATACACGCCCGACGATGGTAGCTATGAAGGGTGATAAATCTGATTTGTTGATGACCTCTAGACCCATAGATGAATGCTGCCACATCCTCACATTTTAGAAGTGTGGGGATGCAGTATAGCTGTGAGCAGAGGAGTGTTCGATGTGATAAGTGTGCGTGTCAAAGGCCATGGTTGCAGTCAAAAAGGAGGTGTGGTGGATCTGATTTTTAAATAAGGTGATACCCATCATTGTAATCTGAATTAGTTGTTGCTTATCTGCTGCTGTATTTGCGTTTTGCATCTGAGTAGGTTGACGCTGTCCAACATCTACTCACTGATAGTTATGGATGATTCCCAAGGTGAACCAATGGACATGGTCGATTTCTTGACCATGAAAGACATTATATCCGAAGCTGGATCGTTGTTGATGTCTGCAGAGAAGCAGCGACAGTCTACTCTCCTCGAAGCAGTGCAGGGTTCAAGTGCATTGCAGGATGCTCTTAAGCGCGCATATGAACGGAAGAGGCACCATCAATTCGAGGATTGAGATATTCAATTGAAATGAGGCCAATTTGCTGACAATCCTACACCACAGGTAGCAGACACAGATTTCCTTATGGATCCTTCAGACGACATTAAATGAGACTCGCTGTGTCATTTCATTGATTGCACCAGCAATCATGCAACTAGCTTTGCCAGTTGTATTTTGTGTGCCAGGGAGCTTACTGTTCAAGCGGTGCAGAGCATATACATTGATGAACTTCCGAATAAACATGTCCTCACTCCAGTCTTTCGGCATCACGCCCAAACTTTGGTAAATGGTCTACTATTGCATATTGTGGCTCTGTCTGATGAAGAAGGCCGACTTCAAGGACCAATCTGTTGCGAGTGTTTGGAAGATTTGCAAGTTGGCAATATTCCACGACTTTCATTGGTGAATGGGTTGTGGGTGGGAGATGTACCCAATGTTCTTGCTATCCTCAATCTTCCTGAGTGTTTGCTCATTGCTCTATACTTTCCTGCAGTGTATGTGGTCAAGCTGTATCCACAATGCAAAGGTGCAACACAATGGGATTCCGCGGCATTGAATAGTGGTGTTTGCGGAAACGTATCCACCTATCAGTTAAACATTCCCGATATCGATGCCATGGTTGACAGGAAATTAATGCCTCACAGACCTGTGGTCCTTGCTGCTACTATCGCTATTTGTTACATGAAACCTCTCAGATGAGATCCAGCGGCGCTAAACCCAGCAAGGGGTATTTGAAGTGTGGCCTTCAGTGCTAGCCCAGCAAGGAGCTTGCCCGCACTAAGTCTGAGTAAGGGTTAAGGCCCTTACTTGCATAGAGTCATTTGGAGTTTCTCAAGGATACAATCCAAGAGAATGGAGTTCAACTCAAGAGTATTGTCTCAAGAGAAGTTCAGACCCAAAGACAAGTACAAGATGAGAACCGAGTATATTCAAGTTAGAGAATCTATCTACAAGACAAGTGATATATATATGTAAGTGTCTGTACCAGTTGAGTGGTAAGGGTACAGGGTAAGCGGAGGTATTACCGAAGCATCGGTAAGGGTCAAGGGTATGTATAAGTCATATACTGAAAAGGGTAAGTAGTGCCAGTTGAACGGTAAGGGCAAAGGGCATGGGGAATCCCCATCAGAGATAGAACTGGTACAGTGGTAAAGGCATAGGGTTCATTAGAAGCCGCAGCTTCTGTGATCTAGGGGAAAGAAGCGAGAGCTTCTCATGTTTCAGAACAACGAGATCAAAAAAGAAAGGAGATAAGAATAGAATCGTAACCATGGTCCATGTCTAGATGAGTCTGCACAGTTTAGCCACATGTCAGTGGTCAACAGAATGAAGAGAATGAAATAACCTGTAATGCTCATGTTACTGTAACACTATTACTATCATTGGCCCAAGCAAATTGCCAGTGAAGTCTTTGCCATCCATCCTAACAGTGAATCGCCATCACGTTAAGGATGCATTACTGTTTTTGAAACGCGAAAATCAACTCTACAGCAATATCTCAATTTGTGAAGCCAATCTGGATTTGTTGCCAGAGGACGGTTTTCCCAAAGAGCTGTTGTCTGTAATGAAGTTTTCAGACAAGCAGCATTTGCTAGAACAAGAGAGAGCAGGGTATGTTATGGATGATCACAACTCGGATGATAATGGTTAGTAGTTTGTTCCCTCCTCTTATACTTTATTTATGGTGTACAGATCTCCATTCTACTTTTGAAACATTCAATTCAATAACAAGTACAGCAGAGCACAAAGGGGAAGTCAAAGGTCATATTAGTTAGTTTCCCTTTATTTCTATTTTTGATTCATGCTTATTATTGTTAGATTCACATGTTATTCTGATTCAAACACATGGAGTTATAGATGCAGAGGCTTCCCTGTTGTCCAATGAAGATGTTCTTGCAAACACTTTTGCAAACCCGTCTAGCGCAGAATCATACCCTGTTCAGCATGGTTCTCGGTTTGTCAATGAGTACGCCAGTCATGATAGTGTTGGCATGCAATTCGCCAGAACTTCGGAAGATCCAAACCATTTATTAGGCACCTTTCCATGTTTATTTCCTTATGGTATGAGTGGATTTGAAGTCTTCCATTGTGGGGAATTCCCCCACTGTAGGCATAAAACCCCATCCTTTCTGCATCGTCTCACATCAGTTCCACATATTCCGCACATTCTGCATTTCCTGCGCATCGTCCAATGGGTTCCACATTCCCATGCATCCTTTGGAACCCGCCCGCACTATCCAATATTCCCGCGCATTGTCAGACAACCTTTGCATGTCCTGTCCCCATCCTTCCAGGTCCATTGGTACGCTGTATCCCTCTTCCCGCTGTTCCTAATGTTATCCGGATCAAACTGACACATGCCCTTATGGCACGGACCCCTATTGTGAGGTATTGCACCCTTGTGCACTGCCTTCCTTCACTTCCGCTTCCTGGGAATTTACTACCTGTACCTCAGTGTTCCTTGAAAATAATCTTCCCTTTAAGTAGTGGTACTCAGGGCTTGGGTGTTTTTTGATCGAATCCCATCTTTTACCTTCCCACTTTTCCTTCACCTTACTAGAGGACCGCTTTGACTTATGCCCACTATCAATCTAACCTTGTGATATACTTCCTTCGACTTGACCTGCAAGTTCCGACAACTCCTTACATTCTGCATTGTATCCAGTTGAGTTCCACTTCATTCCGTTCCATTCCGCTTGGGTTCCACTTGAGTTCCACTTGTTCTGCTTGAGTTCCGCTAGTTCCGCTTGTTCCGCATTTTTGCAGATCCTCATCCTACCTGCGGTAGGGTTGAATAGGGTCGCTTAGACAGAGATCAGCACTCCCCAGTAGCAATCCCCTTTAGGGTCGAACGTGCTTGTTCTCAAGTGAGGCAGTAGGCAGCAAAGACCCAACTTTGTAGTAGATCTATTTCTCTCCACTGCACTTATTGTACCCACACCGTCCACATTCCATATTGTATGAAGCTCACGCCAAATGGGCCATGCAGTACACCAATAAATGATTCAGGAAGTATTTTCATTTCATGTTTCAAGTCTTTGGCGTCATTCAAAAGCAACAGGTTTGTTGATCCACTGTTCTTCAGGTGAAGAAGAAAGCCTTTCACAATAATGAGGCATCCTTCACACGTCTAACACCTGAGGATCTCATTACCGTGGCTCAAGAAGAGGCTAAAAAGGAAGCTCCCTCTAATCCTACTATACGTGCATTGAAGAAGCATGTTAGTACTGTACAAGCCAACATTACAGGGACAGATGAATCGCGGATCAGCATTTGCACATATATTTGGGGTATGATGGTTATGAAAAATCCTCTGTCATTGTGGATCACAATCAATCCCACTGATACTCATGATCCAATTGTTCAAGTGTTAGTGGGAGATCAAATCAACCTCGATGCTTTTGACCGTACTGCGGGGCCTGATTCTGCCCAACGGGCAAAGATTGTTGTGGACGATCCATATGCCGCAGCTAAAAAAAAAATTCATTTCGTCATTGGTGCCATCCTTGAAGAGTTATTCAGTATCACAATTCATTCACATGGTCAAGGAGGTCGCATTATACACCATGAGGGTATTTTTGGAGTAGTTGAAGGATATATTGGTGCCGTGGAGGCTCAAGGTCGAGGAACATTACACCTGCATATGCTTTTATGGATATGAGGTTCACTTACTGTGGTGGAAATGAAAAAAATACATCTACAATCAGCCAAATTCCAGTCTCACATCGCAGCGTACATCACATCCAATATCCAAGCTCATCATGACCACGTCACAGAAGAATCATTAGTGACAATTCCTCGTGAAAAGGCAATGTCCTACTCTTGGCCACTCAATCCTCGTCAATCGTCATTTGCAAGAAGTCAATTTGCTGTAGAAGGTCAACTAGCTCGCGCAGTTCAAATCCACAACTGTGGTCTAGGGTGCCTTAAAGTTTCTGGAGGTCATATGCTGTGTAAAAGACACGCACCATTTCCACTAGCTCCTGATGCATGGATAGATTCCAATGGCAATTGGGGTCCCCATAGAAGTTATTGTTTCTTGAATAATTGGAATCTGACAATTCTTCTGGCAACACGCTCTAATCATGATATCAAGCTTATTACCAATGGGGATGGGACGAAACACATTGCATGGTAAATTTCTTCCTATGCGGCAAAATGCCAGCAGCATTCTTGTAATGCCTCAGCCCTTCTTGCAAAAACATTTGCATACCATCATTGGGATGAAGCACACAATAGTGATGTTCAGACTTTGAACAAATGGCTCATACAGCACTGCACAAATGCGCTTAGTCGGGAACAAGAGTTTAGTGCTCCTGAAGTTGTGTCGTATTTGATGGGTGGGGGTGACAGATATATCCCACCATTTCCAGACCATTTACTGGACTTCTGTGGTGAGTTTGTTGAAGCGCACATTCACTTTTTTGAGAGGTCCACAGTAAGTCTTTTAACATCATAGTGAACCAGAAAATCTAATAGGTTTTCATAGTAAAGGTAGTTCTTCCGCTGAAGGATTGACAGTCCAAGTAGATACTATGAGCTCTCAAGTAAGTGTTATACCTGACCGATTCCTATAAGTCAGTCTTATGTTCCTATAGAGCAAATATGTTACTGTTGAAATGCACGACGGCTCACTTTGAATTTGCGATCAAATACGCGAATATGTTGATTGGGGCTCTGCCCTTGAGGCATTTAGCTATCTCAATTTTTTTCTCAATATGTATGACATACGGTCCAACATCGATGTCCCAAAGTGTATAAAAAGGCTGGGACTGGTGTTTGAGTTCCTTACACTGCAGGCTCTGCTCATTGTGGTGATCCCGAATCTTACCCGTTATATTGCGCATCAATGCTGGCACTACTCAAACCTTGGAGGGATGTGACTACTTTGAAGCAGGCGGATGAAACTTTCAAGACGGCATTCGAGTGCTTTATATCCAGCACCCCAAAAGAAGTGCAGACTATTGTCGATAATATCCAATATTTTCACGATTGTTCGGATCTACCTTTGCTGCTGTTGCAGCAGGTGTGGGGAATTCTCCCACTGTAGGCATAAAACCCCATCCTTTCCACATCATCTCACATCAGTTCCGCATATTCCGCACATTCCGCATTTCCTGCGCATCGTCCGATGGGTTCCACATTCCCATGCATCCTTCGGAACTTGCCCGCACTATCCAATATTCCCGTGCATTGTCGGACAACCTTTGCATGTCCTGTCCCCATCCTTCCAGGTCCATTGGTATGCTGTATCTCTCTTCCCGTTGCTTCTAATGTTATCTGGATCACACTGACACATGCCCTTATGGCACAGACCCCTATTCCGGAGTATTGCGCCCATGTGCACTGCCTGCCTTCACTTCTGCTTCCTGAGAAGTTTACTACCTGTACCTCAGTGTTCCTTGAAAATAATGTTCCCTATAAGTAGTGGTAGTCAGGGCTTGGGTGTTTTTTATCGAATCCCATCTCTTACCTTCCAACTTTTCTCCAACTTTTCCTTCACCTTACTAGATGACCGCTTCGACTTATGCTTACTATCAATCTAAACTTGTGACATACTTCCTTTGACTTGACCCGCAGGTTCCGACGAATCTGTATGTTCCTCTTCATTCCGCTTGAGTTCCGCTTGTTCCGCTTGAGTTCCGCTTGTTCTGCTTGAGTTCCTGCTTGTTCCACTTGAGTTCCGCTTGTTCTGCATTTTTGCGGATCCTCATCCTACCTGTGGTAGGGTTGATTAGGGTCGTTTAGGCAGAGACCAGCACTCCCCAGTAGCAATCCCCTTTAGGGTCGAACATACTTGTTCTCAAGTGAGGCAGCAGTTAGCAAAGACCCAACTGTGTAGTAGATCAATTTCTCGCTGCTGCACTTGTTGTACCCACAGCGGGTGAACATATTGACAATATCTATGAAGAGGCGGAATTGGATAGTGCAGGCAATGTTAATGAATTGACCGAGGAGTCGATACCTGATGAAGATGTCCTATGAGCTTGTGAAGATGGTCTTAGCACTTGAGAGATGGTTTATGCCAAGGTGGTGATGAACATTGCCAATGAATTTAATTTTTTCGCTTCACCTAGTAATCCTTCCAATCGTGTTTCAGCATCTATCGCTCCCATTGCAATGGAGGAGAACTTAGAGAATTGCATGTTGTGGCAAAAATATATTGCAGAAGCCGATTTGTTTAGGGAGGACTGTTCGTGTGCACCTGCCAGTGCTTCTAGCACTGTTGAACCTTTCAATGGCATTGCTGAAGATAATCCATCTGCAATGCTAACTGCAAAATCCCTTGACCACGACCCTCTTCTATCCCCTGTTCCACTGCCGAGTTATTTAAATGAGGAACAGTCCATGGCTTTCACTATTGTCGCAGAACATGTGCATCAACTTCTTCTTGGCAACAATCCTCCACAGCTTCTTATGGTTGTTCATGTTCCAGCTGGAACCGGCAAAACTTGTTTACTCAAAACTATAACTGATATGTTCGAGACTGTTGGTAGTTCCAAGCAATTCACAAAAACAGCTCTGTCAGGGGTAGCTGCTTGTCAAATTGGCAGTAAAACATTACATTCTTGGGGCACTCTTCCCACTGGCAAGGGAATGCCTCATACTGACTCTTGGATTTTTCATCCTAGCACAGAGACATCAAGGCACTGTTATACTCACATGCATGCCAAACTTCTATTGGCAACGGATGAAATGAATTTGTTGACAACCGACACATTATATATATTGTCGCAAGTGTTGTCTGCATTTCATGCAGTGGATGGAGTACCTCCAAGCATGGTTGTTACACCATTCAGCGGACTAAGTGTCATAATCCTAGGGGACTTTCATTAATTCCCTCCGGTAGCTGGTCAACATCACACTTTGTATTCTCAACATCCCACAACAAGCAAATGCGAGCTTGGGAAAAATATCTAGATGCAGTTTGACACAGTTGTCAAATTGTATAGGCAGATTCGCATCACTGATCCAACATGGGTCAATATTCTTGATCATGCCAGAATCAGTGCATGTACAAATGACAACCTTACTGAAATCCTGCAATTGGTATTAACTTCAGAAGACTGTTCCATTCCCGATTTTATGAGTATTCCATGGAGAGATGCTGTACTCATCACGCCTCGTAACAGTGTACAAACTCGATGAAACAATCGTGCAACAGAGAAACATTGTTGGATCCCCGTGGACACCTTATGGTTGCTCATATGGCTCTAAAAGATACTGAACAGTTTCCTACAATGATTCAGTTGGTGAAAGGCATGCGAGTCATGGTTACACACAACTTAGCAACTACCGCCAATCTCTCCAATGGATCTCAAGGATGTGTAGCCGATATTATTTTAGATGTGAGGGAGGATCCAATTTCAACAGAGGCTATTGCTGAACGCAAGGTTTTCTTGCACTACCCACCAGCAATGGTTATTCTGGAACTGGACTTCTGCAAGCTACCTCCATTACCAGGCCTGCATCCTCGCCACGTACCATTAACTCCAGTGCAGTACAAATTCTCTATTGGCTCCTCACCAGTGACCCAAATCACACAACATCAATTGCCATTAGTGCCTGCCTATGCTTTTACAGATTTCAAATCTCAAGGTCAGACCATTGAATATGTGTTGGTCGACATCGGCAAGACAACATGTTTTTCATTGTCACCGTTTAACGTGTATGTTGCATTGTCCAGAAGCCATGGACAAGAATCAATAAGGTTGTTGAGAGACTTCAATAAAGATTTATTTCTTCGACATCCCTCCAAGGATCTGCACATCGAAGATGGAAGAATTGATGAACTAGTAAAGGATACCAAAAAATGTTTTGACGAAACGCATCAGTAAGTGATGTCATCCTTGTCTCCTCGAGTGCGCTAAAGAAATTCAAATGAATTGTTGGGATCATCCAGGTGAACACAGCCCAGGGTATATTGGCGGCTGGCATTCTCAATGGCCAAATGTCAGACTGTGTCTTACGGAAAATTAACACAGGCACGGCTAGAAAGTGACATTGCATCATTACCATTTAATACCTATGTAATTTTACGACATCCTTAGTTTACTCAATATGATGTCACCATCGTAGTCTTTGTGTTTGGTGATATAAACTTCGTGTTGTTCAGTCACACAACATCGATTAAAATGCAAAACAACTTGCCATCCGCATTATTGGGCACATTCTTGATAGGTCTTTAATTACACTATAACTTGTGAGTCCATGTTAACATTAATCACTTATAGCTGAGACTCAGACACGAGGATTGAGTCATTTTCATACCTTCCCTTGCTGCAATTGGCTCTTGAGCGATTATCACGCAGCAATTGACATCACAGCTATGGCACGAGAACTTCGCGGACATCCAGCACTACCTGGTATGTTGAGTGTTAATCTCAGGTGGTTATGATTGACCATTTTCCTAGTTATAATTTTGTACCTTGTAAACTTTTGCAGTTATACACAGTTCTTCCTGGAAGACAATGACATTGCCACTGAGATATTAGCAGCCCTTGAGATGTGATGGTATCCGGTAAGCTTGATGTATTTATACAGCGGTGCGGTTTGTTGTCTGATTCTCTGGGATCAACAGTACCACACAATGGTTGACTCATGTTGTCTAATGTTCTTCGTTATTTACTTACTTGCATCATGGGAGTTAATGCAATCCGTGAGACTGGGATGTTCCGGATTTTGGGATGACATATTTATCCTCAGTGTGTCAGGTTTTCTGGTTTTCCTTAATCACATATTTGTCTGTATTTTGAATCTGCAGAAAATGCCACATTGAAGTGACCTTGCTCCGCAAGGTGACATTGTAGTTTGCTGATGTAGTGTGGCACTGTACAGCTCTGTACAGAACATTGTAGTTTGCTGATGTAGTCATAGTCTGCTCGAGGGGCTTATTTAGGCCCGGCTTTGGCTGGCCCGAGGATTGAAGCTGGGCCGGAACATCACTAATTTACAGTGTCACATCATGTGACACTGTAAATGACTGTCCCAGGGCACAAAATGAGGATACACACTGATGTATCAGCCAGTGCTGGTATCTGCTGGGAAGATATGTTACATATGTACTGATACATCACTCCCAGAGACTGACTGACTAGAGCATTTATGTATCACCATTAAATAACAATTGTCGTGGTTGATATATCAGAATGACAGGATGGGGTGCATCAGGAAAATCACAGATCTCTTGATTGCACTTAATAAACTTATTGTACCTTTTTTTGGCCTTTTGACTGGCAAGTGAATTAAAGTCGTTTGTTGAAAAGTTGGACAAGTGTTAAAAAAGGCGGTCCAGGCGGATCAGACGAAAAAGACAGAAAAAGAGATGGAATTGCACACTAAGTACGAACAAACAATAAAGCTTGAAAAAGTGTTTAAAAAATTAAAAAGCAATCTCGAAGGCATGGTGATCTGCATACTTATTTACATAGTAAGCTCAGAAAGTATCATAAGACTGATAGTATCTGAGGTCATATGAAACAAACTGTGCACCGTAAATTGGAATTAGATGCGCTGCGCGATAAATCGAGTCGATATGAATGATAGACATATGCGGGGCATGATTGGCATGGTAGGCCAGCCGCACCACCCACATCCCGGTATCTTCGTCAGGAGAGTCGCCAATGGTGTCAAACCACCGGATAACTGTGCAGGGATAAGTTATTCCTTGAAAATTAAAGGAAAAAAAAAAAAAAAACATAAAACACGAGCAACATTGAATCCTCGCATTCCCTCGAGGTCTGGGTTGGTGTTAACAAACACGCAGTCGTTCCGTGCATATTCGTTTCGCCACTGCAGACATGCGCGAATGTATTCAGTGCGTATACCACCAATACCGCTGAGGTCACTCGGCGAATAGAATCTGGAGGATGCCGAGTTAAAGACAGATATTCTGCCGTCATAGCCGGGAAAGTGGAATTCGGGGACTTCGGAGAGATCTTGAGGGTCGTCTCGATGTATCTGTTCGAAGAGGAACTGTCGGAGGAGGTGAGGCAGATGCGCTATGTTTAATTCTGCTGCGAGGGCAGCCACAGTTTTTGCACGTTTTCGTTCTATAATGATGTTAGTATTAAACGGGGGATTTCGATCTGACGAACGTACGTGGTGTTCGCGCAAGCTCAACATGCGCTTGTAGCACGGTAGGACCATCGTCCACTTCGCCGTTGTCATCCCCTTCCTCGTCGATATTTGAGCCGTTTGCTGGAAGTGCACCGTCAGCAGCTTGAGAATCGGTGCCTCCCACATCACCGGGATCGTGAAATGGTCCTGTCAGAAGAGAAACGAACATTTGTTAGCATCGTTAAATTAGAAAATAAAATTTGATACCTATGAAGAGCTGCCACAATTGCAGACAAACACGTGCCGTCCAACATATTGCGCTTGGTGAAGTCAGCGTGCAAAGCAGCGAGCTTATCTAGCCGCTGGTTGGTTCGAAGCATTTGCCCGAGTGCATTGAAGTGACTCGAGCGTCTCCAAGGTTCTTTTACTGCCTTGATATGTTTGGTCTCCGTAATCGAGGAGCACAATCCGTTGGGGGCGCCAAAAAGTCGGATGAGTTGGACGTAGTGCTTGAGTGAGTGTTGACGCGGCAAGGAAAATGTAGAAACGACGCCAGCATCTCGGAATGCCTCACGGTAGTGGTGGAATCGGGCAAGTGCATCTTGAATTTCGGTGAGGGTCGTTTGTGTAACGATGTTGCGGTGCACGAGGTAGCAGAACTCTAAAAGAGCGCAGAATGCACGCACAATGTCCAATGGGACATAGCCCTCGATTGCGGGCAAATAGACCTATCAACAATCAGCAGTAAGAATTGAGAATTAAAAAAAAACGAACCTTCATCAGTGCTTTTGAATCATCGCCGGTCCACTGTTTAAACCCTCGTCCTTCAGGAAAGCGTCACAAACCTGAGAAGGGTGCGACAGCTGCGATTCTGTTATATATAAATGAGCGCGTCTCCAGCCAAGAATGAGGAAGCGCACCTTCGGTCAATGTCGTCCATGATTCGTTGACCCTCGCGTTTTCCGTGGGTCAGTATCAAATACTTCTCCACCCAATCTACAAGATGATCCTTGAAAGCTCCCTTGATGAGCTGGTGGAGAAGGTCGGGAGCGATGAGTTGGTTTATATCAGCGCGGGGGAAATCATTGGTAAACGGCTAGAAAATTAAATACAATGAGCAAACTTCGAAGTAATTGTAATGGGCTCAGGGGAGACTGTGGCCCCAGTCAAGGGCGCCAGAAAAATGCGCCCAGTGATTGTAATGGGCTCAGGGGAGACTGTGGCCCCAGTCAAGGGAGCCGGAAAAGCTCGCCCGTTGATTGTAATGGGCTCAGGGGAGACTGTGACCCCAGTCGAGGGCGCTGGAAAAACTCACCCATTGATTGTAATGGGCTCAGGGGAGACTGTGGCCCCAGTTGAGGGAGCCAGAAAAACTCGCCCATTGAATGTAATGGGCTCAGGGGAAACTGTGACCCCAGTCTCCAACAACGGCAAGCGTCCAATAAAAACCCATCAAAAAGGAAGAACCACTCACTACAAGGTCGCCAACGATCCCATAATCATCCCAGATCTCCAATAGAGTCCCTTCCTCCACCAGAGCATCCACGTATTCACGACAATGGTACAAGGCATCTTGATCGAGGTTAAGACGTGGTGCGAGGCACCTTTGCAGGTTGATGAGCGGCAAATAGTGTGTGAGACTTGGAGACACCTTACCTTGCGCACCAACGTTTAACGATGCATCCTAACAGGACTTGCTCTTCATAATCAGCGATATAGGGTCCAAGTCCATAGATAACGCGACAGAAGTGACCATCTCCAAAACGAGCTACTTCGGGTTTCGTCATTCCAGGTACCAGCGTCTGAAGGATTTTTGACAGAGAAGAGTGGAAGAGTTGGCAGCGAAACTTTCGGAACCTTGGATCCTCAGAATGTGCTCAAGTAGCTTTATATAAAACCGATCATTAGCACCTGTAAATGACATGAAATTAAAAGAATCTTACACTTTGGCATAGCGAGAAACCCTATGATAGCCACTGCATCTCGGTGTGCGCGACGGACATTATTTCAAACATTTCCAATGGATAGATATAGCGGGTAGTATGCATTGTTGCCAGTGCCGACTGATACTGTTGTCTTGTCGCTGCCGAGAATGACGGGAACGAAGGTTGCCCCAACTGTGTCAGGATCCTTGGAAATTTCATCCTGTATCCAATGATGCTTTAGTACATGTGTTGTGCTGGAATGTTTTAAAAGAAACACTTACTGCTTGATCCCATGCCCAGTCAGCAGACATGAAGTCTTTCCACTGGCGTTCATCAGTCGCTGATGTGTACTCGCGGTAAGGCTGATAATCCACTTCGTCGGCATACATTGGGTTTGCGAGCATATTGCGGATGACTTCACGAGGATCTCGAAACCACACATCGTAAGAGCTGTTCATCCACGGCGGAACATCGACGTCTGGTATGTCACCGCAATATTTGACGGAAAAACTCTGCCACGGCACGTCTCCAAGTGGACTGCTATCAATTGTATGGTATAGGTCTTTGTGGTTGGCAAACGGCGGACGGTCATTGTATTTCACAAGTGTCGCGGCCCACAGGTCAAGTAAGGTGTCAATTTGAGGGCCGGACATCTGCTCTCGAGTGTATAGGAATTCAGCGGTTTCAAATTCCGTTCGATTACGAAATGGGGTCCAATCATCGGCAGGACGTGCAACAGGTGGGGATGGTGGAGTTCCTGGGGGAAGAAATGCACCATTTTCATCACAAGGCCGACCTTAAAAAAGCGGACCGTCAAACATTATTTTACAGATTTGCGAGAAGTGCAAAAAATCACATACCATCAAGATCCTTATGGTAATTTCGATAAAAATGATTCCCCGGTCCAAAGAATTCTGCATTGACATCCGGAAGTGGAGATGACATCCTGGGGATTTCAAAATCGGGCTGATCATGATCAATGTCAAAAGGAACATCATCAGCACGTGGGATGTCTTCTTCACGATGCTGGTCGTTTCCTGGGTCCGGAAGCTCGGGAGAAACTGAATGGTGAGACGGGACGGGACGTGGGATTGTCGGATGGGCTGAGAGCCTATGTTTTGTCCTTCCAGCAGCAGTCTTGAAATACCGCTGGCAGTTCTGATGGCCACAAGGAAGCTGGAGTGTGCTGTGGTCCGGGCGATGGTAGGAGTTTGTCCCACTGGCAGGCATTGTGATGCAGAACAAAATAGAGGCGAGTGAGAAAGATAACAAGAGTCTGATGTCGCGTTTTGGGGCCTAGGGCTGACGCATAGTAGCAAGCTGCATGGGCGAGTAGCTGAGAAGGCCTGCGAAAGTTCAATGTTTGTTTGGTCACTGTACCTACAAATTCTATTGAAAGTTAAACGTACTAAGCCGAGTTTCTCCCATCACTAGCAATACTTTGCCTTGCTTCCGTCAATACACGTATAATGTCTTCGACAACTGGTGTCACTGCTCGTCAAACCCGCGCATCAAACGCTAATGCCCATCCTGGTCAGGTCGTTCTAAATGCAAAGAGGAAAAGACGCACCAAAGCTCAAAAAGCTGCTGACGACAAGGTTCTTGAAGAAGAACTCCAAGCAAAAGAAGCAGCCGCTCTAGAAGGCATCCAGCGTCTCGCCAATATACAGGCTGAGATGGAGCAGGTCCAAGCTGCTGCAGCTGTCAAGAAACCAAAGGCAGTTAGACCACGCCCACGTCCGGTTGCAGCCAAGAAGGGATCTCAGCTGAAAAATGTGGTGGCAGCTGCAGAGGATGGAGTTGAGGATCAAGAGGGTAATGAAAGGCAGAGCCAACTGACCTCAGATATCAACCAGGACGATATGAGCATCGGAGAGATAGAGGTTGTTGCGAAGCAGAAACCTGGCAAGAAGTCACTGAAAGATGCGGTTGATGCTTGATTGAAATCGATGAAGACTGATCAGCTTGCACGTGGTAATGTTGATCTTGCAGACAGGAAAGGAAACTCTTTACCGTATGTTCTTCAATTGCTGCCATGTTGTTACTCTCTGAGTCGACACTTTTCTTCCTCAACTTGACTGCGGAATTTAGGTCAGCTGTCAAAACTTCAGTCAGTGGACGCATCAAGGCCTGGGCTTCAGACATACCAAGTCCTCCAAGCTGTCCATCTGAAGGCCGCTCCCAGTTGCATTTTGGTTCACATGCCTCTGTTCCCCCATCCACTATATTCTCCCGCTCTCAAGCCACAACAGCAGCTTCAGATGCGACTAGTCTTAGGTCGCAGGCCATTTCACAGAAAGGCTCCGATGTACGAGTCTCTGCTGATCCCACTGATGATCTGGTTGGAGGATTCGGCGATGAAGAGGGAGATGACATGTATGAACGCGAGGCTGCATTCCAAACAACAGAAAGGCATCCAGTTAAGGTACCGTATCTCTTCCTCTGATTTATCAAGCTTGTGCGGCTCACTTCTTAAAGCCTATACTCCAGATCGGTGATATCACAGACTCGGAGTCTGAAGATGTCAAACCTGGTAGCACGTCTTCAGCAATGGTACGTGGTTTTCCTTTGGCAATCGAAATACTCTTTGACCGTAAAACAATTTCTCGCGGCTGAGTAGTTAAATCCTCGGCTGGCATCAAACAGCGAGCTTCCCCCACCATCCTCTCAGCTTCGCATGTTGGAGGCTGCCCGCCGCTTGGCCGCTGAAAAATACAATGGAGCCTCCCAGGCCCCACCATCTACTCAGCCTCGCAAGCCACAGACCACCCGCATCGCAAGTGGCACAAAACAGAAACTCACAGTGGAGTCCAGTGTCGACTCTGTCGATCGTCGGCATGTTCTTTTCTTTCTGGCCCCATGTCAATATCAAATGACTAACATCTTATTGCAGACCACTGTTATGACCACCGATGCTACGGCACCACCTGCAAAGAAGGTCAGAACTGCGCCCAAGGTCAAACCCGAGCCCAAGGTCAAGCCCGAGCCCAAGGTCAAACCCGAGCAAATGGACACGTCAGAGACCGCCCTAGTGTTCGAAGACGAAGACGAAGACGAAACTTGGGTTGAAATAGCAAAGGCTCGATCGGCCTACCGCAACACGGATCTACCTCCTGCATGCCAGGATGGACAATGGCCTAAGGTTTTCCTTCCCACAATTTACCTGTGGGCAGGAAGTCAACCGAGCCTTTGGAACATCAGTGATGATGCGCTCCTGGAAGCTATCCAGCATACCTTTGATGTCGTCTATCCAGAGGTCAAGTACACACCCACCGTGCAAGGCTCTGTTTTTGGTGTTGTATGTTTGTCAACCGTCCAATTTTCCCCTCTCACATATTTAATTTTAGACTAATCAACGTCTCTCCGAGTGGCGCAGCAATTTTGGCTCCACCGCAATTGCCATCATCATCGATTTTATGGCTCGCAATGATGACACTAGCCCCGGCGAGCTCGCTGAGTACCTCCTTTCAGATTATGCGTTTCTTTATGAAGATCCCGAGGTTATTGACAAGACGAAGACGTTCCAGTCCCCATTTATGCTCCAGCTCATAGCCACTGGCCACTTCCATGCAACATCCGGTCATGCTGATGTTCCAGCACTCAACACTGACGCTCTGGTCGTGAACGGGATTGACGGCGTGATTGGGATGTGTGCAGCTGCAGTAAGCCGTTTTTTTTCCTTTTGATCAAAGACAATGCTAATTCACTTGTGCAGTTGGAACGCGCCCTGAGGCTCATCAACGACAACATCATTAAAGTCGAGGATGTACTTGCAGCTCCCCCGGCGCTGCGCAAGCTCATGCTCAAAACACCAAAGATGCTCAATAAGGCCACTGGAAAGGAGACCTGGACTGCCTGCGCGTTCTCGGTCAATAATTGGGGCTCAGCAACAAACTCATTCTCAAAGTCGGCTCGTACGAAGGGGAAAACCCTTACGAAGGACATCACCTCAATGGCCCAGAAGCTTCTCAAGAAATCAAACTCTAGACTCAATGACTTCTTTTCCAACAGCGACTCTGAAGAATTTGACGAGCGTGCTTTGGTTTAGTGAGTTGTCAGGATTTTTTGAGGCCTTTTCACATTTAATCAACTCCCTTTTAACAGGTATCGGGCCAAGTCCGAGTCTGCGCAGGTCTTCTTCATCATTTTTGCGTAATCGTCTGCTTGTGCTTGCCTTTCTGTCTGCTTGTGCTTCCCTTTCCGTCGCTGTTCACGCATTGATCGCTACTTTCCGCATATTTCTAATTCGCTTTTTTGCCCTTGTTTTTGCATTGATATCTCTTTCCGCGTCTTTGTGACCTTTTGGACTCTCGCTTTCTACCACTTAATGCCATCTTCCATACACAATATGATGCACTTTTCTCACTTAAAAGATGACGCGGTGCTTTCTAAGATGCTTCCAATGTCCGAAAAATAGGCCATCAAGTGAGTATTAAGCAAATTTAAGTCGAAATCAGAGGACGAGTGGCCTTTTTGCAACTTTTCACCCTTGACTCTTAATCTTTACTTTGGGTCTCTTAAATTCATCATAAGTCACTATTAAGTCATAAAAACCAATCCGTGGTTTTCCTGATGCTGTTTGTGTCCAGCCCTCAAGTTACTCCAAGACCAGGATGTATATTTGTTCGCCAACATGTAATGTATTCAAGTCAACTTGAATATCACATTGAGCATTTGAGGTTCAATGATTTGCATCGTTCAAGCAGTCCCGACGCAACCATGTTGAATGAACTAGGTATTGTGCCATCAACTACAGCACCAATGCGAAAGCAGAAACATGACTCACATTGCGACGTGTCACTGGGGCTTCTAGTTCTTGAATTGTACACACGATCCACCGTAATGCTATTAGTGTTGCGAGTCATGGGGTTAGCTCCTGGATGCAAAGCAAACTGCTTATACTCACCTCGGCGAAAATGCAAATCATGCCTTTGCAACACTCGCGGGTACTTTTACAAGCGTCTAATTCGTCTTTGCATGCACTGACAGATATGGATGCTGTCAAAACAGCAACAGCGGTGAGGAGGAAGGAGAAATGCATTATTTGCGAAGTGATATGGGATTTTCCAAAGAGTATCTTGAATGATGAGGGAGGCACGGTAGAAAGACGACTTGCTTTTATGTCCTGTACATAGCGTTGCGGGTAATCAGTTTGGCAGAATGGTTAGGCCTAGGGGGTCATAGCGGTGAGAGTGTGGATAGGGTCTATGGATAAATAAATACAGCCTGAGTGATGAGCGAACATCGTATGAGATGTGCCGGAGGGCTTCGTCCACATGTTAATCACCGTTGGAATATTCATCTTTGTTGCAAATGCCTGGGTGGGACGGACATATTACCAGACGTAGTCCTCTATGGCGCCAGTGCGATAAATACCGGATGGGCCATCTGGGCCATCTGTTTTGGATGTGGGAGATGCACTGGACTCGTATTTTGGATGAAGGAAGGATACGATAGATATGCTATTAAGGAGCCAGAGACCCAGACGTCGCTCGACTTTAAAGTAACGATTGTCTTCTTCAGAAGTCAGGGGTCGAGCTCGATATCAGTATAATATTGTGCGTCAGACGGATGACCGCAGTTGGACCGCAGTGTGACCCTGCGCGGGTGAGGGTGGCGCAAGCTGCAATCCTCACTGCACAGTTGCACCTTGCATTTTGGTCTGATTCGTGCAGTAGAAGTGTTCCACGACAGTCAAATTACGATAGTGCTGAGTGGGGACCTGGGCTGGAAAACACGTACGGGACGTCGCGTATCGAGATTAGTGGTGGCGTTCCTCAGTAGCTGTTGGAGGTATACACATTATCCACATAGGTATGCATGCTCGTATGCCCTGACTGTATCTGAGTCCCAACAAATTACGATGCAAGGTATCAGTGCCGCTTCTAAGCTGTCAATAATATTAGCAAGAGTACACAAGCGAAATCGAGGCTGATACGTGTGACCAGAGTGGCTCTCCTGCCATATCGACACGCTTCGTGGAACCGCGGAAGAAGGAAAGGTTCGATCCGGCAAAATGCAGATATCATCTGTTCGGAAGAGAATTTCAGGTAGATAGGTTCTTCCTAAACCACCATGAAGTTCCGCGAGAACAATGTTCAGCACATAAAAGAAAGCCGTCTTCCTACCGTCCCCTTCAGATTTATTTGATCGCATATCCCATCCTCACAAACAATGCGTTTCGCCTTCGTCCTCGCTGTCGTTGCTACTTTGATAGCATCGGTATCTGCCAGTGACTTGGACCCTGAAGGTTGTCCCACCCATTGCTCCAAAACACCGTGCTGCGCTAAGCATGTATGCGTGCCGGTATACTACGCCAATTCTGTGAGTATGAGTAGTTTGCATCCTGGATTTAAGCATATGACTCATTGTTGTGGTAGAAAAAAGTTGACTATCTATGCAAGTGATAGTGAACTACAGTGAGTCGTGTTTTTGCTTTCGCGTCGATGCAGTGTGGTTGACGCGTGAGTAGTTTGTTGCTGAGTTGATCAACATGCTCGTTTCTGAACAAATTTCACTGCCGCTCGACCAATGGAGGTCCTGGAATTGAGAGAGGGACATCTCAAATAGCGTATGACTGAAGTACTTAACACGCAGTTTTATAGTTTCATTGTAAGCTTGAACAATGAACATAGAAGCCCGCGATGACACTGCGACTCCTCCCGTCATTTACTGGGTTGTATGGATGCATTTTGGTCTGAGGCGCTGGAGTCTATCTTTGTCGTCGAATTGCGAAAGCTCAAGATCTGACTTGAATGCGGCTTGACTCCAAAGCCGCAACTTTGGCCTGGGCCTGGGCTCGGCCCGGCTTATTTAGGCACGGTATCGGCTGGCCCGGGGCTTGAAGCCGGGCCGGAACATCACTAAACTTAGTCGGACTCTTACACTTTTCTCTTATTTTATTTATTTCAGTCCTTCAACTTAATTTTATGTGCCCACTTTCTGCGTCCAAAGAATAAGTGAAATAAGTTAGTCACCCATTAGTGAACTTTCACGCTTTGTTTCGTAAATTAAGTGATAAGGTTGAGAAGGTAAACTCGTGACTTCCTGATGCTGACATGCATTATGTCCGACCTATGAGGCTGTTTGTGTCCAGCCCTCAAGTTACTCCAAGACCAGGATGGATATTTGTTCGTCAACATGTGATGCATTCAAGTCATCTTCAATATCATATTGAGCATTTGAGGTTCAATGGTTTGCATCGTTCAAGCAGTCCCGACGCAACCATGTTGAATGAACTAGATATTGTGTCATCAACCACAGCACCAATGCGAAAGCAGAAACATGACTCACATTATGACGTGTCGATGGGGCTTCTAGCTCTTGATTCTTACGCACGATCCACCATAATACTATTAGTGTTGCGAGTCATGAAGTTAGATTCTGGATGCAAGGCAAACTGCTCACTCATACTCACGTTAGCGATAAGGCAAGTCAAGCCTTTGCAACAATCGCGGGTGGTTTCACAAGGGTCATATTGACCTTTGCATGCACTGACAGACATGGATGCTGTCAAAGCAGCAACAGTGGTGAGGAGAAAGGAAAAATGCATTATTTGCGAAGTGATATGGGATGGGATCTGCCAAAGAGTATCTTGAATGATGAGGGAGGCACGGTAGAGAGTCGACTTGCTTTTATGTCCTGCACATAGCGTTGCGGGTAATCAGTTTGGCAGAATGGTTAGGCCTAGGGGGTCATGGCGGCGAGAGTGTGGTGTGGATAGGGTCTATGAATAAATAAATACAGCCTGAGTGATGAGCGAACATCGTATGAGATGTACCGGAGGGCTTCGTCCACACGTTAATCACCGTTGGAACACTCATCTTTGGCCCAAATGCCTGGGTGGGACGGACGTATTAGCAGACGTAGTCCTCTATGGCGCCAGTGCGGTAAATACTGGATGGGCTATTTGTTTTGGATGTGGGAGATGCACTGGACTCGTATTTGGGATGAAGGAAGAATGCGATAGATATGGTATTAAGGAGCCGGGGACCCAGACGTCGCTCGACTTTAAAGTAACGATTGTCTTCTTCAGAAGTCAGGGGTCGAGCTCGATATCAGTATAATATTGGGCGTCAGACGGATGACCGCAGCGCGGCCCTGTGTGGGAGGCCGGAGCAAGCTGTAATTCACACTGCACAGTTGCACCTTGCACCTTGGTCTGGTTCGTGCAGTAGAAGTGTTCCACGACAGTCAAATTGCGATAGTGCTAAGTGGGGACCTGGGTTGGGAAACACGTACGGGGCGTCGCGTATTGAGATTGTCGGTGGCGTTCCTCAGTAGCTGTTGGAGGTATATATGGTGAGTAACGAGTCGCGGGCCCTCGGGGACGATCTAATAAACGAGTATAATCTCAGTCTCTTGAAAGAAGCTCTGCTAACGAGCTATGTACCTAATAAACGAGTATACTAGGGACTCGTCAGCTTTCTTCTAATCGATACGTCGAGACTATTAACTCACATCTCAGTCTCTTGAAAGAAGCTGAGATGCGCTCGTGCTACTGCTGGCGTTCTTATAGTAAGCTATGTAGAAACGAAAAATATATCAAACAAATAAGTAACATATTGCAGGACACGAGCCGACGTCAACATGTCGCTCGTCAATGTCCTTTTTGGCTTGGGCTCGGGCCTATCATTAATATTCTCTCTCTTCAACTATCTCGGATCGTTCGGTCTTCTTCATCTCTGATCGCTCTGATCGTTCGGAGTCTAACAGTATACATATGATCCATATAGGTATGCATGCTCGTATGCCCTGACTGTATCTGAGTCACGACAAATTACGATGCAAGGTATCAGTGCCGCTTCTAAGCTGTTGATAATATTAGCAAGAGTGCACGAGCGAAATCGAGGCTGATACGTGTGACCAGAGTGGCTCTCCTGCCATATCGACACGCTTCGTGGAACCGCGGAAGAAGGAAAGGTTCGATCCGGCAAAATGCAGATATCATCTGTTCGGAAGTGGATTTCAGGTGGATAGGTTCTTCCTAAACCACCATGAAGTTCCGCGAGAACAATGTTCAGCACATAAAAGAAAGCCGTCTTCCTACCGTCCCCTTCAGATTTATTTGATCGCATATCCCATCCTCACAAACAATGCGTTTCGCCTTCGTCCTCGCTGTCGTTGCTACTTTGATAGCATCGGTATCTGCCAGTGACTTGGACCCTGAAGGTTGTCCCACCCATTGCTCCAAAACACTGTGCTGCGCTAAGCATATATGCGAGCCGGTATACTTCGCCAGTTCTGTGAGTATGAGTAGTTTGCATCCTGGATTTAAGCACATGACTCATTGTTGTGGTAGAAAAAAGTTGACTATCTATGCAGGTGATAGTGAACCACAGTGAGTCGTGTTTTTGCTTTCGCGTCGATGCAGTGTGGTTGACGCGTGAGTAGTTTTTTGCTGAGTTGATCAACATGCTCGTTTCTGAACAAATTTCACTGCCGCTCGACCAATGGAGGTCCTGGAATTGGGAGAGGGACATCTCAAACAGCATATGACTGAAGTACTTAATACGCAGTTTTGTAGTCTCATTGTAAGCTTGAACAATGAACATAGAAACCCGCGATGACACTGCGACTCCTCCCGTCATTTACTGGGCTGTATGGATGCATTTTTGGTGTGAGCCGTTGGAGTCTATCTTTGTCGTCGAATTGCGAAAGCTCAAGATCTAACTTGAATGCGGCTTGACTCCAAAGTCGCGACTTTGGCCCGAGTTCACACGGCAGCACACGGCTCAGGTCCAGGCCGGGCCAAAGCCGCCAGTGACGGCTGACTCTGGCCTGAGCATTTCGTTGTGCCAGTAGTTGACCCTGCTCCGTCTGCGCTCCACACCCCACTTTCACAAGTTGAGAGATCTGTACATCTGCAAGTCGACGACGGATCGACAGTACTTGACTTGGCTCAACAGACTTTCGTTTGATCCATCGGCGGTTATTATTACCGTTCAAGTTATCTGTCACAAAGGGCGGACAGGAGGGTCTATGGAATTTCGAACTCTGGCTTATGACGTTTAAGTTCTGCGCTGGCCATTTAGCGTGTTGATTACTTTGTATTCAGCTAACGGTACATATTGGATCATGTCTTGAAATAAGTTGCTCATATTGAGTAATTTGACGATGAACTACGTATCATATCATCAAGCACAGTACCAAAGCGAAAACAGAAAAATGACTCACTGTCACTCAGGCTTCCAGCTCATCGAGAATCATGGATAATTGCAGTATGCGAAGTAGTACTTTTAGCGTTGCAAGGCGCAAACGGTGAGTCGTGGGATTGGATCCTGGATGCAAAGGAAACTACGCATACTCACAGATCCAGGTGGCACACAAATCATGCCAGAACAGCAATCCTTGGTCGTGGTGCAAACCGAGTACTGGTACAAACATGCACTGACAGACATAGGTGCTGTCAAAGCAGCAACGACGACGAGAAAGGAGAAACGCATTATTTGTGCAAGGTGATATGAGATCGGAATAATGACTCTGAGGGTGGGGGGACACGGTAGGAAGATAGCTTGCTTATATGTCCTGTAAATCTAGTGCTGCCGGCAGAATCGTGGATTATAGGGTTGACGGATAAACAAATACCATTCAAAATACAGCCCAAGAGATGGAGACGACATTAATGTATGGTGATGTATCCGTAGGGCTTCGCTTCTTGATTCCGGGTAGGCCTTCGCGCTCAAGAAGGCACTATCGGAAGCTTGCCGCCCCTCAACTGTCAGAAAGCCTTACCCGCTATGCACATGGTCAATGATGTAATCGCTGCGATTGCTCTTCAAGCAGCGACGATTCTCGATCGGGTAGAACGTTTAAGGACATCTCCATCCAGTTGTTCGCGTCATCAAGTAGTATTTGTACCGTAGCACTCGCATACATTTTTATCCCCATGCAACGTGTGGATTCATTATTGAGGCGAAAAACCTCCTGAATCAGGTTGTGCGATCAGAACATCAATTAGACTGCGGTCCATCGGGATATTAGCTTTGTGCAAGTAATCATCGTTCCTACACACACGTCAGTGAACCTCCAGATGAAAGAATTTTTGCTCACCAGAACTAATGACAGGCCCGGACACAAAGGCGTTAGAAACTATCTTCTCAAGATATCGTGCACTCACCTTGGAGTAATGTCTGTTACCAGAGTCACACCTAGGAAGATGATGAGTCACGATCGTTCCCCGGGTTTCTGAGGGGAACCTACAAGATTGTGATAAGTGTTTGACCTTCCCGCCAACCCTTTTTCTTTGCAAATTTGATGCATGCTACCAGATTGCAGGCACTGCTCGAACCTAGAAATAGACCATCATTTTGAACGAGGTATCGAGACATGGCGACCGCTTCGACGTCAGTTATCCTTCGTCCTTAATGAGCTCCTACTAAATAAAAGATCAAGGAGTTGACGTACCGGAACGCGTCATCTATAATCGGAAGCGCAAGATCGATGTTGTTCGTCATGCGGTTGATTCCTCTACAGAGATAAGTCAGACGGGAATTGCGAATGATGTTCCTATACGCACATCCCCTCGACTACTGTGTCAACTTGATGTCGTCGTTTAGTGCCTTCAGCTTCTCTGCGGTCGTACATTACACCATGCTTGACCTGAAGGTGCATGAGAGAATATCAGGCAGCTAACTAAGATAGGCTTCGACCTTGTTATAGAGACCACTGCCTTCTGGGTCCGCTAGGACAACCTGTACCTTGTCATCCATCGATTTGAGGAATCGCCCAATACCTGCGATCGTTCCACCTGTCCCTGCAATCATGGCATTGGAAAAGCAAGGCAGCTAAATTGTAACCGGTGCGCACCTGCTCCAGATACAAATGCATCAACGTGACCATTGGTTTGACGCCAGATTTCTGGGCCAGTCCCGTCGTAATGGGCTTCAAAATTACTACGATTCTTTTTGTTGTTGAGTTTTAGTCCCCCGTTTATCTATCGAAGTAAACACCTCGAATTGATCGGCGAAGAAGCCCCTCGGCTTGCTCAGCAGATCCTCATCCAGTGGGTCGTCAACGGTGCCTTCTGCGTGGACATGCGATGAAGTAGTTGTGACTACCACAGATGGAGAACCTGTCTGGAGCTCGTGGCTGATGTGGGCGTCGTTCAAATTTTTCACTATATCTGACCGTCCGAATTCGATGGCTGCTCGCCTAGCGATGTTCTTTTCGCAAAGTTTATAAGTGAAGGCTCATTGCGTAATTTTACAGATATTTCTCACCACATACTGTGATTATCATGACAAACGTGGTAAATAAAAATTGAGTGACCACGATATGAGATCGCACCTGTTTTTTGTCGACGATGCTCGCGGGACGAACACGCCGGACATCAGCTCCAAGGGCCTGCAACGCATTCACCTTCTCCAGAGCAACATCGTCGGGCATGATAATCGCTAAGAGACGTGAGATGGGTGAGAAAGGCTAAAGCTCGATGAAATTGCGCACTTGTATCATATCCCCTGCAATACCATGCTATCAGATGGGCATATTCTGGCACCAGAACTTGGGTCACTTGCCTCGCTTTCGCGATCGTTGCTATCGAGATGCCAGTAGATCCAACAGTGCCTTCAAAGATGCGGGATCCAGTGTGAGGGTACAGCAAACCTTGCCGCTCTGCATCCTCGATTACTTCACGTCACAAAGCAATGAGATGTATGTCGTCTTCTGCGCAAGAACTCACTGCGCAGAGCAACGCGGTCCTTGACACTCCCTCCAGGATTCATAAACTACAAATGGCCGAAAGTTAGAGAGACCTTGAAGGGAATGGTTTCGGCTCGAAACCCACCTCCGCTTTCCCAAGAATCTCGACTCCCAAAGCATCACTCAACGAGTTAATCCTCACCAATGGGGTATTTCCTGGACGCGACGTCGTTCAAACTTTATTTACTATCCAAAGAACACTCAAACGGTCGAATCACGCACCTATCAGTCCAGTGACTCCATGTAGGACCTCATCACTTCCCAGCTCAATTGGCCGGAGCTCGAATTGCTCCTGCGAGAGGCTTTGACGTCGTCGAGAACGCCAATATGATGATATGGACGTTGATGTCACAGACAAGGTAAACCCTATAAGGATGCCGTAGGTGATATGACGAACAGCCATATTGGAAAACCAGGGAGGTAAAGCCAACTCAGAAAGTTTCATGGCATGAATCAAACATGGATTGAACAAGGTTAAGTGACTAGTATCAATATTGCTCAAGCAGCTGGCATATGCACATAATATTATGAGGGATGAACTTGAGAATCCGTTTCCTTTTTGGGATATATTGCTTTCAGCTTCAACTTGACGGTAGACGGCAAAGCATGGCCCCTTCCGCTCAGGCGGAGAAGCGTTTACTCTGGCATCCAAGATGGGACAACAAGTTTGTTGTAGGGGGGAGGTTCTCAGATGACAATTGTACGAATGGGCACCAGAAAAATCAGAAATTCGTCATGTAACTTCACAGAATGACTTGCAGTTCATGAAGGTGAGCATCGGATCGTCCAACTCCTATCACTCAAGGTGTATTGATATCTTCAGTGTTTTGCTTGGTCGCCAGACCCTGCATTCGACGACCTATTTGCTGTCGGATCAGCATCTGGACGCGTCGACCTCATCAGGCTAGAGGCAACCAGAGTCGCTCGGAATAACGTTCTCTCAAGTGGACCCGTCGTCACCCTTCCCGTACGCAACTCTAGATCATGCAACGCCCTTGCATTCTGCAACACAGACCCCAACTACCTAGCTGTCGGCCTCGATAAAGTTCGTGGAGATTCCAGTCTCATCATTGGGATATCCAATCTGCCACACCCCTACTATCTCTCTCCAAACCCTCCAATTTAACAGAAGAAATAGCAGCACGCCCACAACCTCGAATAGCGCGTGCTGATGTCGGTCATAGGACAGATGGGCGTGTTCTACAACAGCACGCTCCTACAGAAATAGTTTCAGCGCTCGCATTCCTCCCGCAATCTACACATATCCTCTTAGCTGGTATATCAGCGCGGTGGCTGCGGCTCTTCGATCTCCGTAGCGCAGTCCCCGTAACTACCAACATCGCGACTAAAGTCCACGGCATCGCAACATCTCCAATCGACTCACACCAAATCGCTTGCTGTGGAGATGGGATCATAACAGTCTGGGACGCCCGACGACTCCCACATCCATTACTCACGTTCACAGAAAAAGACGCAGCAGCTGACGGTGCTAGACCACGCTCTGCGTCTTTTGTCAACCATATCGAATTTTCGAGCTCGAGAAGGGGTGTGCTTGCAGCGCATGAGAAGGATTCTTCGTATGTGCGGTTTTGGGATTTGCAGCAAGCGCAAGGAAGCGAGAATTATTCCTATTCGGATGGGGAAAGATCGGGGGAATCGTCGCAGGTTCGGGCTAATAAGAGGTCTTGGGCGCCTTGGACTGCTGCTGGACCTGGGCTGAGGCATAGTACTATGGAATTGCAGGAGACGTTGGCGCTTGTTCTGACTGATACGCGGAAAAGTATGTTTATTTATGTTGACCTTATGCCCATGCTGTTGCTGATGTGTTGTCCTGGGTGAAGCGACGAGCTTTCCTAAACCTCTTGCGTCTTTTGCCCTCGTTCCGAGTAAGCGCGCCTTTTCGCTTACATCGGAAGTTATGGTCGTCAATAAAGATGGAGATCTTGAACTTTATGCTGTGCATGATACGCCTAAGCAGGCGTCGTGGAGTCCACGCGGGGACTTGGCGGTTGGTGCTGGACTGGGATGTAAGGTGCTCCCGGGCTTCCAGGATCGTGGGGTTCCACCACAGCCATGGGAAATACGCATTCAGGACGAGACGACGACTCGGGGGCGCGGGAAAACTGGAAGTCTTCCACCGTTTGGGAGGGGCGATGACGATGGGTTCCCGGCTCTAGAAGGCAAAGCCTCACCATCGAAGCCTGTAAAGGCCAGGACATATAGTCCAGCTTCGTTTCGACACTATCCACTCGACCATTCTGAGCTGTCTGCGTCGTTGGGTGGTGCGAGTGCTCAGACGGCTGTGAGGCCTCAGATTGTGGAGGAGCCGAAATTAAAGAGTCATCGACAAGGTGCAGAGAAGAGTTCACCGAGAGGGAAGAGTTCGATACGGAGTGTTCATCAAGTTGTGGAGGATGATATTTCTATGATGATGCGTCGGCGCACTATCCGTGGATATGGGTTAGCAGACGTGAGTTGTGTGTTTCTGCAATTGTGCCATGCGGGTTCTGAGTATGATCTTTCTTGCAGGCCAAGCACAATGCCCAAGTCGTACAGGAAGATTCGTGCTCAGATACGATGCTGTCAGAACTATGGGCTTGGATACATCGTGCGTTCCATCAAAGAGCGTCTCCAACAATGAAAGTTCATATCCCATACAGATTCACGCGAACTCGTATGCTCCCCGACACCAAGATTGCACGGGTACGAATTCTCAAACCAAGGACTTCTTGGATTGTGGGAAGGATTCGCCCCGCTGCCTCAGGTTCCTGAGCCGGGCTCGTCGTCTTTTAGCGTCCTTGATGGCCTTTTGACCGTACCCCAAAGTTCGCCGGGTGACTCTAGTCTTTCTCCACTATCTACTCCTGCTGTGCTTGATCCCTTGACACGGATGAGACAGCAGCCTGACGATTTGGCCTACGGGGATTTCACAGCCGCCGTTGCTGCTCTATGTGCTCGACGGACTTCTGGCTCGCACCGTCCCTGGAAACCTCCCGTCCGGACAAGTAAGCTTGAACAGAGACAGTTTGCGTTGCATCTCTGCGGGTGGGGTGTTGGGGAGGACGAAATGAACCATGCGATTAGAAAGCGAGTACAACGCATGCGTTTGTGATTTTGATTGCTGAACTTCTATGCAGGTGGGAAAAGGAGGGTCAACAGTCAAGAGCAGCGTGCTGGCTTGTCTTTACGCGACAATATTCAAGGGCGCTAGAGCTCCTTATGCGGAGTAAAAGTACGGTCGTCTCTCTTTCTGTGTCGTTGTTCTGTTCAATGATGGATATGATATCCTAGACGAGATGCACAACCTCGTGTCTGGTACTCTTGCCGCCCTTATCCCGAGCGCTGGCAGCACGCCATCCAACGAAGTGCGCGACCACGCCGAGCGCCTCATCATCCGCCTTCAAGATCCGTACTTCCGTGTTATGTTTACTCAGCTCACTTCCAAGGACTGGTCTGAGGTTCTTGAGGAGGAATTACTTCCACTGCGAGAGCGTCTTGCAGTTGCATTTCAATTTCTAGAAGACAAAGCGCTCTCAGCATACCTACGGCGCATAACTGACCGTGCCTGTACACGTGGTGACATTGAAGGTCTCATCATCGCAGGCCTCACCCCCACAGGCATGGACATTTTGCAAAGCTACGTAGACCACACGGGCGATGTGCAGACCGCTGCTATCCTCGCTGCCCATATATGTCCTGCCAAATTTGCAGACACGCGGGCGGAGCGGTGGTTGGAGGCGTATAGGGACTTGTTGGACGGCTTTAAGCTGTTCCACCACCGCGTTGCGTTTGATGTCGAGCGGGGGCAGATACTGCAGGATGCGGTGCTGAATGGTGATCTGGCGCCGTTTGAGTGGGCGCCGAAGCAGATTTTGATTCGGTGTAATTATTGTTCGAAACCGATGAATCCTGTGTTTTCTGAGACGCAGAAGGGACGGGTGGGTGTTGTTGTTTTGTGAATATGGAACGTGCTGATATTGAATGTCATTTTAGCCTACTGCGTGTCCGCACTGCAGTCGTGCCCTCCCGCGGTGTTCAGTCTGTCTGATGACACTGAGCATTGTCCCAGATGACACGCGTGATGTTGAGCTTGCACACTCGCAGGCTACTTACCGAGGTAATGTCTTTCTTCGTAGACAAATATGGGAAGCTATGCTGACTTAATGCCTTAGACACCATCGATGAGGCTATCGTCATCTGCCAGACATGTCGGCACGGCGGACACGCATCGCATATTCTTGATTGGTTTTTTGGTGAAGACGGTGCACGTTCACGTGGTATGTGTCCTGTGGCGGATTGCGATTGTCACTGCGCGGATGAGTTCTAGGTCTTTTTTTCTATTTGTTGTTAGAATGGAGCCTCAGGTCTGTTCGAACCAATATCCAGTGTTATGCCTCTATTGTGACCCGGTCATATTCTGATGTGATGGAGAACTTGTTCTTTAGGGAGCATGCACACATAGCAGTGTCTAGCACTAACGACTCTACATTATTAGCTTAAAATTGGATGTCTGAAATGTAATCATTGAATTATTAATTGTGCGTTACGCTGGATGGTAATCCCTCAGAAGCAGGCTGCATGATGCCATATTTACAGGACGGGTCACCATGTCCACGAAGAGCTAAACGATACAAAATCAATGAAACAGTAGTCCGTCTTTATTGATGACCATCAGTGGTTTGTTGAGTCGATACGCAGCAGACAAACAAGACGACACGAGTCCAGAATAGGGGTTCCCGATGCGTTTCGCCTTGTCACTAGCGCGTTCCGGCCGCCGAGCAACATACAAAGCCTGTACAGAGATGATGGGATTCCAAAGATTGGAAACACGTCCAAGAAAGACATAAGTTACCTTTTTGTCCTGCACTGTCGCGACTTCGACGACCTGAGGACTGCAACGAACGGAGGTGCTTGACATTGGGCGTTCAAGTTGTTGTAGTTCGGTTCTTTCATTGGCGTTGCGTTGAGGGCGGCGGAAGAGGGAAGACATGCGACCAAGGAACGGATGGGGACGTGATCCAGAGGGTGCGAGAGGACCGTGGCAAATGTTAAGAAATGCACAACGTACATTTAACAAATATAGTTCGAAATGTCCCACTGGTGTATTCTCTCATTTTGAAGTCGAAGTGCTAATGCGGAGGTTGTTCACGGCAAATGACGAATAATGGTTCCAGACCAATGAAATGGAAGTCCCAGTCGGTGGGGTCTACTGGTAGCTAGAGATGTTGAACGACTTCAAGCTCTTCCACCACCGCGTTGCATTTGATATGCAGTGGGTCAGGCACTGTGCGGAACGTGGATTGACGCCCTTTGAGTGCGCCCCGAGGCAGATATCGAGTCGGTGCAATTGTTTGAAGATAGGACCCGCAGATATCGAATACATATTCACCTACTGCATGTCCGCATAGCAGTCGCGCTCATAGCAGTGTCTAGTAGTCTAGAATAAACGAATTGTCTTGGGACTGGACATCAACAGTCCGATGCGGGTGCGTGCTCCCGTTCTCCATGCATTGCTGCATCTTTACTAATGCGTGTTGTCGGTGGGAAGAGACACACAGCAGATAAACAACACGATGCGAGTCCAGATCGTGGGATTCTTGATGCGTTTCGCCTTATCACTCGCTCGTTCCGGCCGTCGAGCAACAAACAAGGCCTGCCCAGAAATCATCGGACTCCGGCAATTAGAAACACACTCAAGAAAGACATACCTGTTTGTCTCGTACTGCAGCAACATCGACAGCACGAGGACTGCAATGAGCGGAGGTGCTGAGCATTGGGCGTTGTTGTCGCTCGGTTGTCTCATCGGTGTTGCGTTGAGAGCGGCGGAAGAGTGATGACATGCGATCGATCAGCAAACGTGGACGTAATCCAGAGGAGGATGCGAGGGAATCGTAATGGTAATGTACAGAGGGGTGAGGATGGTGACAGGGTGAAGCGGAAGGCTGGAAACACGGGGGTCAGAAGAAGAATCAGTAAAATGAGATGGCAGTGACACACATGAACGCGATCTTGCGGGACATCGAAAAAGCCTCGTGGCAGTCGATTGGGGCCTGATCGATGCGTAGCATCAGCCTAGAATGTCAATGTGACCATCATTGTGAAGGTCAAGAATGGTATAACGTACGTCTGACAATGACTTGTACCAGTGTTAGTGTGATGGATTCTTGAAGAGCCATAAAATATTATGCATACCTTTTGCAATTTGAGTTCATCTTTTGGTGTCTAACAGGTAACATTATAAGTGAGATAGGGTGGGTAATATGTTGACACTCACACGGGGCATAAACAAGAGGTCTTCAATACCAGCTGCTTTGAGGATGGCATGAATATCCCATACATACGCGTTTTGGTCACCGCCAGCTGTGGCTAGTAGCGTTCCATCAGCAGAAAAGGCTGCACAGTCCGCGGGATTTGGGTGTCGGAGGGGTGAACCGCCCGCCAGGAGGTTCGTATCAAGATTCCAGAGATGCACTGTTCCATCAAATGATGTGCTCGCAAGGAGGCGGTCGTTCCGAGACAATGTGATGGCATAGACAATATATGTGTGACCTTCGAGAATGGCGATCTGTTGGCATGTTGCAGTGTCGAATATCCTAATGGAGCCATGCGCTGTCCCGGAGATAAGCTTCTTTTCATCCGACGTCCATGCCAAAGTCCAAACCGGCCAGTCTTCGTGGATAGTGGAGAGCCACTTGCCCGTATTGGCATCCCAGATTTTAATGCCATCCTTATTGTATCCACCCGTCGCAATTTTTCTTGCGTTGGGCGAGTAACTTACTACGTGCACTGACTCGTGCCCAGTCTTGATACCCAGGATGGATCTGCCACTCTCGACGTCCCACACTCTTGCAGTCCCGTCCCGGGATCCGCTCGCCACTCGCTCACCATCCGGACTCCAGCACACTGATTGCACCCAACCACTGTGTCCTGTCCATTTGGAGGCGACCTTCCCCGTCTCGACGTCCCACAACCTCACTGTCCCGTCACTGCTTCCGCTTGCAATAGTTTTGCCCTTTGGAGACAATGCTATGGTGGCCGCGACTGCATCATCCCCCTCATCTCGCCAGCTCTCGCCTATCTGTGCACCGCTTTCCAAGTTCCATAATCTGAGTGAACCGTCATTCGAACATGTGACGATACGCCGCGGCTGTCCGTCAGGCAGGTGCACAACACCCCGCACCCGGTCTGTATGGCCTCGCATGATCTGACAGGGCTTTATCCCTAACTTCGACATGTCAGCCGCGAGGGAAGACGGTGAACTATGTGTGCGAGAGCAGCTCGCTCAGATCGAGGTGTTCGTTGTCGTATAGGTATCAATGGTAATATGGACCTGCCTGCGTCCACCTTGGTAACTCTTGTCAATAGAAGCGCATGAGCCATTGATATTGCTCACGGGAGGTCTGTATATAGGAAATGAGTCGATGACGATATGTGCAAGGGCTCGCTGCGCTATTTCTGGAGAATTCGCAAAGATCTTCGCAAGGATTCAATTACCAGTCAACATCTGGTTCGATACTTACTTCAGATTGAGATTGTCCTGGAAAACCTGGGTATCACTCACGAATGAGAGAGGCGGACATGTTAGTTGGAGTCCAGAAAGTTGGACGAGTATGACATGCGTTATCTTGTTGTTCGCTTCCTAATATGGAGCGCTCAGATCTGCGGCCGCTAGATTTTCTTGTGACTACTTTGATGACGAACGGTCGTGTCGAATATTTGACAGGGTGCGCATTTCATCTCCGTTGTCCATATACTTCTTCCAGTCTCTCGATATTCGAATCCGATGTATTCCAACCTTCCACATATTCAAGTTTCCACGATTGTGCGGTGTTCAATAGTCAACAAGAGATCATTAGCAGCATATTTTGCGGACATGCGCGAAGCTTGCATGGAGTGGAGCAAGGTCGTCTGAGATGAGCCACCATATATTTTCTTGACCAGAATCCCATGTAACATATTGCATCCCGTGCTTCGACTCGGAAAGGTATATCCTAGGCGAAGTGTGAAAAAACCAGTTGGTGGGTGGAGTTGTGGAGGGACTTACGGGGGGACTGGTGCAATTTGGGTGTTCCCCGACACTGATTTTGATTCGGCGAGTCTGTTTAATGGTGGTCAAGTAGCAGCCGCATCTTCTGCACTCGCGCGCTAAGATGTAGTGTTCGGTTATCACCACTTCCTATAGCATGACATGCCTCGGGCTACCCCAGCCAAAATTCGCTCGTGGTGTAGAAATCCACTGTGTTATATCCATCAAGGTGTCATACATGTTTCCAATACAATCTCGTGCATCGCACGGGACACAACTATGTTACAAGAAAATACGGATGAGAACGGTCAGATTACTTGCCATTTCGCTGTTCAATTCACCACACTACTGTGGAGAACCTTCGCCGGAAGTATCAAAAACCGGCTGAGCTTGCGCCATAACGGAAGATTATTCAATCGTTGGGCGTCCATAACCACTTTGACGTGGTGAGTGGATAGGTGTTCCCCGCTGTAAGACACTGATTAGCAAGAACAACAACAAAGAACAACAACATATGGCAGCTAGCTTACTTTGAGGCGGCCAGTGCTCGCGCGGACCGCACAATATTCTCGATCGTGCTCCCTAAAAGTGTCATCAGCACCGTGTTACATTATCATCTAGTAACAAGCTTACCATCTAACTGATACCACGAGAGTTTCTCGATATCGCGAAGGTGGGTCGAGTAATCGATCTTCTTCTGATCCACGAAGGAGGAACCGATAAGTGTGCGCTCGATGTTCCGCAAACCTCCAGCGGGATCATCTTGGCCAAAGTGGCCGAGCCAAAGACGACGTCGGGCTGCAGTGTCTAGTTCAGGGAAATCGATAACTTCAATGGGGCATACTTAGCAACGAAGGTAGGTCAGATAACTGGATTACGTACCGGCAGAAAATCGCCTGCGGAGTTCTTTGTCGCAGGTACTTGTTACCCAGAAGGAGATGCAATCATCCGACTCAAATTGACGGAGACCAGCATTGACGCAATTCTGACCAAAAATGAAGTCTCAAACAGTAAGAGCGCAACGGTCAACAGCATACCATATATGGGCCTTGACCGAGCGACTTCAAGAAAACCTGTGCGACTTCAGAGACCATACAATGGAAGGTGTCGGAGAGGGTACGTACATCGGCGTCTTTCACCACGACGACTGCATTCCAAGTGGTCGCAAGCTAAAGATAACCGGGTCTCATTAGCGAATCGTTGCAAGTTGCGAGCTGTACGAACCGACATGCGCCGAGAAATATTCGATACAAAATCCATCGTGTGGAATGGGAGGTCGCAAACAGAAATAGGAAGCAGAGGTCTCTTGAGAAGATTGCAAACGGCATGAACTGTTGTCATTCTGCCGGTTCCTGGTGATCCATTGAGAAGTACTACCTATGGAATGGTGAACAACAGACAAGAGATGGTGGTATTTCGAGACCCACCTTTCCTGTTTTGAGCTGCGCTATGTTTGCGCTGCCTGTAGAACAACCAGTATCATCCACTAGTGCTTTGATAAGATCCTGCAAAAAAAATCACAAATGATGAGCCCGGCAATTCAAGAAAAATAAATATTATTACCCGCACCTTAGTATTATCGTCCATAACCAATTTCCTCCATGCCTCTTGATCATACTCGACTGGCTTCAAATCCCAAATATTGAATGTTCGCCATACCTGAATGCCAGAGTAATTGGCTTGAGAAACAGCGAAATTCATGTTCCAAATTGCTCACGTTCATTTCGAGATCATATCCACCAATCCAGTATGGAAGGCGCGCGGCATGCTCCTCCGCGTTGTCGGGAAGTGACACACGTCTGTCATGCTCATCAGCATGGAAATGGAGAACAGAAAGGTCACTCACAGTTTCGGGTTGTAGCCTTGGCTGCGTGCACGGTGAAATCCAACTGGGTCGATCATCACCCGTCTTGCACGTGGTTTCACGTTGTCACTGAAAAAGGCCCGCATTGGCGTGTCGTCATAATCTGTAAAAGGGATAAAATAAAATAAAAAATAGGACGATGAGATGGTGGGGTGGGTAGGGCACTTACACTCCGCATGACAAACTCTGCTATAGGAAAGGTAGAGTCTTCCACGCGCTACATTGATAATTCAACGTCATAGCCACCGACTTGTTGGTAAAGTTCTCACCGGTGAGTTTAGCAAGCGCATCATCTGTTATTGGTTGAAGAAACAGGTATGAAATTTCCCGGGTTCCCTAAAAGTGTTGAGTGAACATCTGATAGGTTGATGTTGGAGCATGGCATAGTACCTGATATGCCTGTAGATGATGGGTCATGGTGCGCTTCTCAAAATGAACGCCATCCCACTCAAGATACTCCATCTCGAAGGTCAGCTCCCTAAACAGGTCTAGTCAGGATTTATCACAGAACCATGTCCTGAAGAGTGACACTTACTCCCTATCGTCGCTGAAGCGAGCACTCTTTAACACTACCAAGACCTTTGATACAGCATATCAGTGATGATCATTAATAGGCCAGGAAAATAGATCTCACAATTTGCCTTGCGATATCTACGCCATTCTGGTAAATCCCACTATTGTAGATATACCGCGCTCCTTCCTCATAATAGTATCCGAGAAGGTCGAAGGAAATCTGGTTGTTAGACAGCGACTCTTGGAATTGCTTAACCCTGCATGGTCATAAACAACAAGGTATGACACGTTGGACTGGAGCATGCGCACGTTTGCTTGCATTCCGCTTCCACGACCTCCAATAACTTCCTTAAGTGCGTCACAAGATTAGTAAGGTACAGAACAACCACTTCACCTGTCCATTATGATCAGAGTTATTCGATGTGACGGGCGATGGAATACTAACAATCAGAGCATTCGTTGGACCCGAAAGCCTCGGCCTTGGATGCTAGGTCTTCTGGAATTTTCTCTGCATCCAAGACGCTGCGTGCATCGTCCAATCTGGACCGAAGGACCTCTATCTTTTGGAACAGTCGATGAATAGGGTATTCAAGGGGTTTGTCGTATTCGACGTGGACAAATACAGTACTGAGAACGAGGTATCAACACCCACACTTATCCAATTTCAAGACAACATACCGGAGAAAGGAGTCTAAGACTGAACTAAAGTCGCTGAAAACAAGTGAAGATTTCTCTACGAACCCGTTCAGTATGCCTGCTACACAATATACAAATAGTAAAAACTCGCCTCCCTCGCTCACCGAGCGGACGTTGAGATAAAAGTAGTCATGGATACCTCCAGCGCTCATGGGCGAAGGAGACCTGTACATATCGGGCACCCACTGTTTGTTGTGCTGATCCCTTATTCACCACAACTCATTGAGCAAGCGAGCACCCAAATGTGAGGGAGAACTTACCGTCTCTGCCATCGACGTACGAAATGGTCATCTACTTCCTCGTGATACCCATATGGGCGACATGGCGAATATGATCTGTAATATGAGACGGGGCGTGCAGGATAAGGCCGGTAGCATGGAGATGGCGATAGCAGAGCTGGCGTTCGCCGAGTTGGCGGGAAGTCTCCCGGTGTAAGTGGTGTTCGAAACGGGCCGACCGATTCACTGGGTAGGTGCTCGTCGGCTGATTGTGGTACGAATATTGCTTGCGGTTGAGGCATGACTTGAGGACCGAAGTACGACTGCTGTACCACAGGAACTGTGTCTGGGACTGGCCCAATGTACCCGTCAGGCAGTAAACCTGAAATCCATGGCGACATTTCGGGAAGAGTTGGTGTGCTACTGAGTGATTCAGACATCCTTGGTGAGTCAAATTAGGATGGAGCTTGATCGAAGGAGAAGCCAGCTCTATATATAACATGAAGGTGTCTGCAGCGCCCATTAAACATGATAAGACAATCCTGTGGCTTCCATAACGTCTAAATGCTGTGTGTCACAAGACTGTTGCTGTGCGTTTGTGGACATCATGCCAGCTGCAGAGGATAAGTGTAATTGGCCAAGCTTCCCTACCCATGTACTGAACTTTTGCACAAAAGTAGTGGTCGCCAGGAAAATGACAATAACACGCGTCAGTTTGCATAAATTAGGAACAAGTGTAAGCTACTCACGAGTTACTATGCAGTGTTGAATGAGGTATCTTCGATGTGGACAATGATGAGATATGAAATATCAAAATTCAGAGTACGATCTCACTGATGGGGAACATTCTTTATAGAAGGAATGAGCGTCTTCCCTATTTGTCTACCTAGAACAAAATGGTGGCCTACATACCTCACTATTCGATCTTGGACTTCACGGGACGAGTAACGGTTTGCCGATGTGTATCTCTCTCAATCCGAGTGCAATGAGCGGATTGGTTATTTTGTAAATTGTGAACGGGTCACGGTTTCCAGCGACGATGAACCTTGTGTCTTATTCAAGATGAATGAATCAGCTGGATGATGAATCCCACGACTTATGGAACTACCCGTGTCTTGTGCTGAAAGCGAGGGGTGCCTGTGCAATCAGAATGGAATTCTTGCACTGGTCACAGCACTGCAGTCTGTTCACATACCGCTCGAAGCCCTAAATCGGTGAAATTCGATGTCAGATAGCACTAGTGAAATTGGATCAAATAGGCAGATGGCTATTATTGCTAGTATTAGGTCGAGCCCATATAGACAAGTTCAGAAGCTAAACAGGAAATGTGAATATAGAAGTCAAATTACGACCAAGGCAATTAGATCATGAATGAACAATTCCCGCATGCTGCCTGGATGACGATGTACTACCTTCTCATCAGTGATGGCTGTCGGTATAGTTAACGGAAGCGCAGCAAATGAAGAGCATAACGCGAATCTACCAACGGGGTTTTTTGATGACCAGCATTCAGCATGAAACACCGTCCCGCGACTCGGATTTGAAATAGCCAGGTTGGAAGGACAGCGCAGATGAAACGGAGATGGCTCGTGCTGTAGGTCACGAGTCATTAGGGCAGAATAAAAACATGATGTAGGAAGATGCATGTGGCGGCAGGTACGCTTTTCCGCATGCGCAGCACTGTGAAGCTGTGAAGAGGACACAGGATAAGCAAGTAATACGCTTAGCAGACGACTTAAATAAACACTTGCGCGAGTCCCTCGTCTCTAGATCAAACGTGCACTGTCTCAACTCAGTCAGGGATCCCCGTAGATATCTCCTGCGAATTTTGAAGAACGCTCCTGCATATATCTTCTCGGAGCCATCCTATGTTTCAGGATTAAATTCCTCTAAACAGGACCTCTTGTGAGTAGTCTTTCATGCGCATCTATTGACACGAGTTCAAATGAAAGCGGATAGGGAAATTCTCACCCCGCAGGATAACGTCTAACCCAAAGAAGTGCCTAGCAAGCTGCTCTTGCAGCGATAGTCCACGATTGTCCTTTGTGGAAATCTCCAAGCACCGACCGTGTCTTCTCCCGCTGTTATCATGAAAAAGATGTCAGTAGTAACGCCCCTCCAGATGATGCGAGGTCATACCAAACTGGTAGGAAGTGTTGTGCACCTGCCTGGCGGTCAGCGCATCATCACATGTTCAGGTGACGGCTCACTCCGACTATGGGACCTGGAAAGTGGTGCATAGATAGGCGATGACTGGAGAGATGAGCTCTACGAGCCGGCAGTGATCACCATGGCATTGTCCCCAGACGGCAACATCGTTGCAAGCGGAAGTGTCGATGGGGCGGTGAAGTTGTGGGAAGTTGCAACAGAGATGGTCATCGTGACATGGATAGGGCACACTACCATTGTGCGGTCAATATGCTGGATTCCAGATGGTGAGCGAGTAGTGAGTGGATCCTTCTACGGGACGGCAAGAGTTTGGGATGTCGAGAGCGGCAAACACGTCTTGTGTATCGGGACGGGTCAGGATTCGGTGTACGCGGTGAGCTATTCACCCAACGCTACAAAAATTGCAACGTGCGGACGCGAGCGTGCAATAAAAATCTGGGATGCCAGGACAGGCGAGCTGCTCTCCAGAGTCAAACACGACAATTATGCGTCATGGAGCTTGGCCTGGACGTCGGATGAAAAGAAGCTTATCTCCGGAACAGTGAATGGCTCGATTAGGATATTCGACACTGCCACATGGCAGCAGATTGCCGTTCTGAATGGTCACGGAGGGGTTGTTCGTGCCATCACTTTATTTTCGAGTGACCGCCTGCTTGCGAGTACATCTAGAACAGTACGTCTGTGGGGTCTCGACACGAACCTTCCAGTTGGTCCACCCCTCGAGCACAAAGGTGGGGTCGGGTGTGCGGCCTTTTCCGCTGATGGAAAGCTGCTAGCCACAGCTTGCCATGACCAAAACGCGTATGTGTGGAACATTCACGCCGTCCTCAAAGCAGCTGGCCTGGAAAACCTGCTCCTGCACCAGGCCATACCGGATGTGAGTATCAACTTATCACCCACTTGTTCTTACTGACAATGTCTCTTGTAAGTTAGGCCTCAAAACATGAACTCGACCAGAAGATATATGCGAAGTCAATCATAGAGCACATTTCCCACTCGTCGCAGGACATAACTGACAGTGACAAGTCGTTTTTGGAAGTACGTGATGTGTTGTGAACCTTCTCAATGATTACAACAATATTAACATTCCAGGCTGATGCTACGCGATGCCTCGACCAACTTGGGGATGTCGATGAACTCCCACCAGGTTTTTTTCACGACATACCAGACCATATTGATGTGCGTCATCTTGCTATCTATCATTACTTTTTGTTCAGACCTCTGTGATCTCAGTCTTCCCCAGCGCGCGGTGCCCATCCTGGTTATTCTGCCCTCCTTTCTCGCTTTTCCTCGCTCCTCCGCCGCTTTCGACCCCATCCTGATGAAGCAACCAACCTTCAGCAACCCCCAGTGCCTTCAGAATCACGATGACGTATGTTTGTCCTCACTCCTTCACTCTCCACAGACCACTGATGAAGCAACAAAATCTCAACAACCCTCAACCTTCGGATTCACATCCAGATGCACTTCTCGGTCGCCTGTCCTCACTCTTCCGCTCTCTACCCGATATTAATGAAGCAACCGAACTCCAGCGACCCCAATGGCGAACTACCTCATCTCATTGCAGTCCTCATGTCATGGAAGTCGCTGCAATGCGGGACAAGCAGATATGTCTGTCTTGAGTGTATATCAATTACTGGGGTCTGATGATTTTTTGTGTAGCCATTGTACGTTGCTCGGCGGCCGGAAACTGCTAGTGACAAGGCTAGACGCATCGAGAACCCCAAACGGTGGGTTCGTGTAGTGTTGTTTCTCTGCTGCGTGTCCCCTGGTACCGATGAGGGTCATCGCACCGCGTAAACAATCATTTTCATTTCAGTATGATGTCTTGTAATTTCCGAATAACATCATTTGTATATGCATTCCATCCCTGTCAAACGAAGATCTACAAACGGAGATGTGACTCGTGCCGGACGTCCATCTCAAGCTCCAAACTGATTGATTATATTTGAATTGTGCAGAGCAGCCGGTTGTCTTTGCATCCCAGATTCTGATTGCATTCTCAAGGAGTCCGCTCGTCGCAATCTTTGCTGTGTCGATCCACTTGTACCCTATCTAGGACAGTCTGAGTCTTGCTACTCTCTACATTCTAAACTCTTGCCATCCCGTCCCGGGATCTGCTCACCACTCGCCACCATTCGTGAAATCGAATTTGTCCAGTAGTCGTAGTCAGATGTACAATGTTGTTATTAGGTCGAGTCCATATTACTGTCTACAAAGCGTTACGAAGCTGTTCGAAAGGTAAACAGGGAATGTACATACATATGTCGATTCACAGATTAGCAAAACGGAGAAAAATTACTACCATGGAAAGTAGAACATTGGGATGAACAATGTCACATGTTGCCTGAATGGCGAGCAGCTGCCGAGTCCTCAGTGATGGCCATCAGTATAGTTAACGGAAGCACAGCAAATGAAGAGCATGGCACGAATCCACCATCGGAGGTTGTTGATGACCACTGCAGGATGAGAGGGTATATCAGTTGCGGGTGTGGCGGTGGCGTTGGTGGTGGCAATGGAAGTTGTAGGTGTTACAAAACTTGCAGCGGCAACAGTGGTCTGAGGACGTGATGACGAAGTTTGAGATTGGCTTTGAGCCGGTTGTTGACCTTGGGTATGAGCACCTTGTGGCTTGCTCTTTTTGCGACATGGTGGGGCGACATATATACGCTATGAGATAGATGAGCTAGCAGAAGCGTGGTGAAAGAGGTGACCGTACCTGCTTAGCAGGGACAGTTGCGACTTCTACGACATGGGGTCGGGGTGAGAGCGACGAAAGAGCGACGAAAGGTGACCTAGGAGAGTATGTGACCATGCTCCCAAGGAGGGCGTGAGGCGGTGGTGTACAACTAGATGGTGGTCACGTGTAGCGGAGGACTGACAGCACCGAGGTCACAAGAACAACGCATCGATATGAATGGTGATGACATACATAAACACGGTCTTGCGTATGGTTAAAAAAGCCTGGTGGGAGTCGCTGAACGCCCTCGAGCTGGGCAGGATGCCGCGCAGCATTGTCCTAAAATATTCATGGTAAGACCATTTAGAACGTCGAGAACCAGGTCGCATACGTCGAAAAAAGACTGTGCGAGTGGGAGATTAGCGTTTTGCGCTCCAGCTGAATATCGTGAGATGCATACCTTCTGTTTATGTTTGTCTTTTGGTGCCTATTAGCAAAAGCGAGTGTCGTAAGTGAAATTTGGAGTTGGTAATATTTTTACACTCACGTCAAGAGTGGATAGCAGGTCTTCAAGGGCCAAGTGCTTTGAGG